AAACAACTAAATTTGAAAATTTTAAGGCTTATGTTTCTATTCATGGTTGATCAAATTGCCAATCTTATAAAGTTGAATGACTCTTTTGAAGAACTGAAATTTTTTTTTTCTCGTTGTTTGAAGTTGTATCATTTGAATGATATATGATAGCAATGTTTTTTTTTTTTTTTTAAACCTTGTACATGTTTAGCAAAGGAGCAGATGTCAGAGGCTATTTTATTTGGTCTTTGTTCGATAACTTTGAGTGGACGTATGGATACACAAAGAGATTGGGGCTTTACCAATTTGATCGCGTCACGTTAAAGAGGACTCCAAAGTTATCAGCGAAATGGTACAAACAATTCATTGCAAAGAATCAGAAAATTGAAAATAAAATACGGTCAAAAAACTTGGTTCTTCATCAGAATCAGTAAAATATATAATTGTGCAAAACTCTATAAGTGCATAGACCGAACATGGAGTAATAACTAATAAAAAAATAGGAGAATGAATATCAATGCCAAGAGAGCAAATTTTATTGCTAAATATTAAAATTGTAATGTTTTTTTATTTTATTTAAGCGGACTACTAAAATTCAAGATTTAGTTAGAAGAGATTATAATGAAAGCATTGAGAGAAAATAATGTCAGTAGGAAATAAAGATGGAGGGATGGATTTACAGTTTCTAACTTCACCCAATAATGTAATATCAATCTTCTCGTGTTTTAAATGGAATTAAAGTTTTTTTTTAATTATAGTATTTTCTTTGTAATCAATCTTCTTTGTAATTTCTTTTCCATTGAATTTTAATTCCACTTCCCCTCAAATATTTTACGCAAATCAAACGAGGCCTAAGAGTATGTGCAGTATTACTCCTTTATCTTGCCCCTCAAAAGGGAGAAATCCCTCCACCGACTCCTCGAGGGCTCCACACCCGGTCCAACAAGATTGCGGATGGTAAATCACGGTGACTAAGCGGTCTCTAGGTGGGGTCACCCTTTTTCTTGAATTTATTAAAACACGCTACATAAGTATAGAGTAAAAAATATAGTAAAAATCAAAAGCATGTATAGTATTACTCTAAAAATATAAATAAATAAAAATTTCTCTCCATATATAACAACAATGTTACAAGTCCAACTACAAGAATATAATGGTCTATTATTAGCATTACTGATTTGAATTGGTCAGCTATGAGCGAGTTAATTAAGTTGGTTATCTATTTGTGGTCCTATGCTGATTAGGTTCACAAGACGGATCGGAGTACGTTTATATGGCGTACACTTTCAGATAGTGATTGCGAGTTTTCATATAAATAAGGGAAAATAACATTTTTTTCCAATATGTTATATACTTATAACATTTTTTTCCCTGAATTATTAAAGTGATAGTTTTTCTCCACTAATATGTTAAATGGACATATTTACCTTTATTGCCAGTTCATGTTCTGAATTGAAAAAATTAAAATATATTAATTGTTGAATTTAGAATATTCTAAAAGTAAAAAAATTAAATTTTAAAAGAAAGTTTGAACTAGCAGTTCAAATTGGATCCGAAACTATGAACCGATGATTCAGAATCAAAACCAAATCGCGGTTATATATACTCAGTGTTGTAAAACTCGGCCTCCTCGGCGCCTAGGCGGCCTCCTCGGCGCTAGGCGGCGCCATGCCGTGCCGCTTTTGATTATAGTCGGCCATTACTCGGCCGACCGCCTAGGCGGCCAACTCAGTCAAAATCGGCCAAACTCGGTCAAAATCGGCCAACTCGGACAAAATCGGCCGAGTCGGTAAACTCGGCCAACTCGGCCGAGTCGATCGATTTCGTCCGATTTTGACAAATTTTGACCGATTTCGTCTCATGTTGTCTTTCATTAATTATTGATTTTAGTATTATTATGATGTTATGACTTATAAATTATTGTTATTTCATTTATTTGGATGTGCTATTTGATTGAATGTTGAAAACATTCTCATTAAAATTGTCAAACTACAAGTCTGTCACTATTTTTTTAAATTTTTTTGGTGCCCGTCTAGCGCCGCCTAAATTCCGCCTAGGCGCCGCCTAGACCGCCTAGCCGCTAGGCGCTGCCTGGACGCCCGACTAGCGCCTAGCGCCTACTGCAACCATGTATATACTTATATGTGAAAATCAGAATAAATGCGAAAAAGAATATACACTATTTGCAAATATTATAATTCTAATTTTAAGCTAATGCTAGTAGTTGTTCCGATTTGAACCTCCGGTTCACGGTTCAAGATCCATTTTTTTCAGTTCACAATTTTAATAAATGAAAATTCAAATATTGGGTTCTGGTTCTGAATCATAATTGAAATTTTTGATTCGATTGCTATAATGTCCGGTTCGGTTCAAACCGAACCGTGGTCATCTCTACGTATAAACAGTAATTTGTTGAAGACGATAAATAAATAAAATATTTATTTTAAAGGTAGAAATATCCATTTAATATATCATGAGAAAAAAATCGTCACTTTTATAATAATTAAGAGGGTAAATATAAATGCATTAATAATTCGGAGAGAAAAAATGCTATAAGCATATAATTTAGAAAAAAAATGTCATTTTCCCTATAAATAAATAAAAAAATTGTCTGGAATTTAGTATTCTCAGATCTCATCATGAGATACTTCCCAGTTCCCATCCAAGTCTTGGTCCCAGTCTGGTACTCTTTTTAGAAAACTGTTCAGCACAATCCTATTCAATTCGATTACTATTTCTAAAAAAACAAAAAGTAGAATTGATAGTGATTGTGATTTCTTACCCATCCAAAACTCATAAACCAAACCTTTTTTTACAACCATATATTTGACTATTTGCATTCATGCAATATCCTTTCAAATTAAAAAAAGGGACCATAATGAAATATCATTATATTTAATTTGTAATTTATTACTATTCGCTTTACGCCCAATGTTGCAGAAGACGCTAGGCCCTAGTTGGGTGCTGGGGGAGCCTAGCGCCTAGACGGTCATACACCTAATAAAAAAAATCTACTTAAAAGTACGTCGTTTTGAAGGGAAAAACCAATTTAAAGAAAAAAAAAAAAGTTTTGGCTAAGTTTCTAAGCCGCCTAGACACCCACCTAGACAGCTGGCTAACTAGCAATCGCCTACACCCCTTTTCGCCTTGGATTAGGAGTGCGTCTAGTACCGATTTCTATAATACTGTTTACACCTATACAATTAATATAATGGACGTATTATTATTTTAAAAAAAAATAATGCTCTATTATAAACAAGAAACAAAGCATTAATAAGTTTTTTTTTTTTTTTTTTTTTTTTTTTGTGTAAACCACAATAGGGTAGTTCAAGTGGTAAATGAGCTTTTTTTGTGGGGAAGAATTTTGGAATAATCCGGGTTCAATTTTCACAAGTCACGATACCCTTTGGGTCAGTTCTTATGCCTCTTAGAACAAATCAGGTAGACCTGGACCGTCCGTTAAATGAATAGAGAAAAACCCATATTGTAATTTGCACCAAAGCATTAATAAGTTGACAAGACTCTTTATAAGATTGCAAATGTCAATCAGGAGAAGAAGATCACAACCTCCGGAGGTTGTTGTACTTGCCAGGCGGGTGGAAGACTGGAAGGCAGGTACATGTTGCACAGCTGTTAGGCACCCACCCTCAATTTATTCTATTCATAATTTAAAAAAAAAAAAAAAAAACAAACAAACAAAAAAAAACTACCACAGCTTCTTGTATTGAGTGGCACTCCATTAGTAAATTTGGTGTCAAGTCTTGAAGGCTAGTGTCGAACCACGTTGTTGGCGCTCTTTGAATAAAGAAATTTCATCTTTTGTGACCAAATATATATATATATATATATATATATATATATATATATATATATATATATATATAGGGAAGGGATCATGTGCATTTGTGGCTTCCGGTGCGGATGTGCGTGAGGTTTATACTTAGTGTGCGTGAAATTTGTACTCAATGTGCCTGAGATTTGTACTTGATGTGCGTCATGTTAATATGAGTGAATTTTGTACTTAATGTGCCTAAGTATTGTGTTTAATGTGCGTGAGATTTGTGCTTCATATGCGTGAGTATTTCAAAATTACGAGCTCAGAAGGAAGTAAAATAGAAACTCACGCACATTAACGCCCAAGCTTCCTGTTACTTCTTCCTTCAATTTGGCCATGGATTCTGAATTATTAGCTACCTTCAGTGCAGTTGAATGTTTATATAGATGATGCACGCACAGTAAAATTTGCACAGCAGCTAAATGTAAATTCCTGTTGTATTATTCCCATAATTCTTAACCACCATAACTCGCCTTCGCATCATCATCGGGGGGCAATGGCTACTGGGATGGGGAAGAAGTTGACATCAATATTTTCTACTGCATTTTACACATTCACGCACATTAAGTACAAATCTCAGGCACATTAATCACAACACTCACGCACATTGAGTACAAATCTCACGCACATAAATCCACTGCACGGAAAGCATTCATCCGCACGGGAACCTTTCAAAATATATATATATATATATATATATATATATATATATATATATATATATATATATATATATATATATATATATATAGCTTACTTTCTAAATTGGATGTCAAATCTTTTATATGGTAAAGTCAATTTTCATTGTTTTTTTTAAATATCATTGACATTGATATTCTTCTTGATTAAGATATCATGAACTAGCTTGGTTGGTGTGAGTGGTCGTGCACTTTTGTCCTGTAAGAAAGTTCGGGAGTTCGAATTTCTTCTCGTATAGAAAAATCAAACTGGCCAGCACATGCCTCCTACTAGGGTCTGCTCAGATACCTTGTACACCAGGGTGCACAATGCATTGTGCGCCCTGGCCTAAAACGACCCGTTAACTTCTAAAAAAATCCATGTTTCATATGTACAGAATTATATAATAGAATACACATAATCTTACATAATACATATAAACTCTTCGTCGTTTTGGACCAGGGCCCCTGATGCACGATATAACAATTGAAATAACTCGTGGTCTAACAAATAATAATAATAATATGTTCTTATGTATTGGAGAAACAGCAAGAGAAAAACAAAAGAGCATGCAGAAAATTGGGCATCTCGTGCTGTCTATATATGTTGGGGTATGAAGCCAAACTGGCCTGGGAGAAAAACTGACTGCCAATAAAAAATAATTAATGGCGACTTACTGCCGACAATGGCTGCCGCTGCTTCTTCTCCTCTTACCTCTCATGGAGTCATCAGCTTCTCGTTTTTTGGAGGACTCTTCTCCCTCGCCGTTTCCGCCCAACTTTTTCTTCGGCACTTCTTCCTCTTCTTACCAGGTTTCATTTAATTTCTCTCCTTTTCTTTTTCTTGCCAAACAGAAGGCGAAATTCTCTCGCCCCCAAAGCCCTACACCCCGACCTGACAAGATAATGAAGGTGACTCAGTGATCCGTCAGGTTGGAGGACCTGTGTCTAGGCTCACAAGGAACCCATCACGTTGAGTGTAACTTCTACACTGATACTATCAGGACTCGATCAATAATGCTGGCCCAGTTGAGGCTCGTCCATGCCCAATTCCGATGGACAAATCTTCGATTTGCCTCTAGCCCTCTTTAATTTCTTAACTCGAGTCTTAAGTTTAGCGACTTTCATTATTGATGAACACCTGCACTAATAAGACCTGTATTTAATCTATCACATGAGAACCAACTGATCGAGCTGCCACTAGTGTAGTCCGGGCTCCTTTTCTTTTTCTTCTTTCATATTTATGAGTATTCATGGAATATATGTGTTGGTGCAGTATGAAGGGGGTTATTTAAGTGATGGTAAAAGTCTAAGCAACTGGGATGTTTTCAGCCATCAACCAGGTCATGCTAGCTTCCACTGCACCCATATATAAAAATGCTTAGCTTATTGTTTGATAAAAATAAATTCCATAAATAAAAAAAAAAAAATTGTTGCAGGAAATATCTTGGATGGAAGCAATGGAGATGTTGCGGCTGATCAATACCACTTGTATCAGGTACTCATATTATCCACATTAGTGGAGTAATAATCTCCTCCATTTTAATTTCACTCTATGTACTTAAGTAGAATGTTATGATTTGTCAAGAAAAATAGAAAATTATGGTCTGTATTATTTTTAAAGAAAAGTGACACTTTTAATTCTCCAATTATAAGGTATAATGAATTCAGTTCTATAAGTATTAACGCCTCTAATTTTCGTCTTCTAATTATTAACATAGTGGTGTTTTTCTCTCCATCTAAACCGATACGGTACCGTTTGTTATAGGAAAGACAAAACTTTATTTCTTTATACTTTATATATAACAGTCAACGTCACATTTCAACGGTAGAATGTCGGACTCGACTTCCAAGCCGCCACCCAATACTCGTATTTTCCTCCAATATAAATAGGCTACTAAGACAAAACACATCATTTTCACCAGAATATGTGCTTTTAACCCAAATAATTTAAATGCATAATTTTTTTCTCCTCTTCTCAAAATGTTGAATCCCCATCCCGACCCGACGAAGCATTTGGGATGATGTAAATTACGGTGACTCAATACTCAGCAGACAAGGCTAATAAATGACGATGTGCACAAGAAATCTGTCCACTTTAAAAAAAATCCCACATTGCTGATGTCGAGATTTAAACATTGGTCTCTTTTCCTAAATATTGCCTATGAACTATTAAGCTAAGCTCGTGCAAACTTAAATGCATAATTTCTCTTAATAGGGAGAGAAGGGGAATAGGTGAGGGAATCAGAAAGTTAAGATAAATTTATAAGTTTTTTTTTTTTTTAAGGATGAATTTATAAGTTTAGTCCTAAAAAAAAAAATTGAAATTGAAATTAATTGCCACTGAGTGAGTGACACTGACCATTCTTTTTATATGGAGACAAAAATGTCACTGTTTTAATAAATGATGTCCAAAATTAGAAGCACATACATCAGGACCAAAAACATGCATCATTTTTTATTGAGTTTTACTAATTTAAAGTTACTGGCTCTATTACATTGTAGTATCTGTTCATATACTTTCTCAACCTACTGAAACACAAAGAACCAATAACGCCTCCACTAAGGCTCGAACTCATAATCTTCCAAATGAAAGTCCAATCCGGGTACCATTAGACCACATAGTCCTGGTCCTCAAATTACTCTCTAATGTAGTGGGTGTTAATATGTTACGGAGTATTTTCTTTATCATGTGGATCCTTGTAAATGTGCTTTTCTTCATGTGTGCCTCTATAAAAATGTCTACATCAAAATTTAAAGAGTGAGAATAAAAATTGCCAGTAAAGAGTGAAAGTACATATAATATTTTTATTTTTTATTTCTTTTTCTTCTTATCTAATCTTTAATTTACGGTGGTACTGAAAACAGAAAGATGCAAATCTATTAGCGTCTCTGGGAGTTAATAGTCACAAGTTATCAATATCATGGTCTCGAGTTTTGCCAAGTAAGGACCCAGACACACACACATATATATTGTTTGGGAAGAATATATATATATATATATATATATATATATATATATATATATATATATATATATATATATATATATATATATATATATAGGGATGCACTCAGGTGCGAAAAAGTGCCCAGAAAGGAATATGCGAACGAATCAGCACGCGATACGTGTCCAAATCTAATAGCTTAAAAAAATACGGTGGTATTTTCGTAAATAATTGAACATCGAAGTGCAAGTAAAATCACTTACAAGTGCACCTACTTTCACTTATAAGTGCATATAATTTTGTCGTGTTAACATTCATGCACCTAGGTGCACCTACTTATAACTATAGGTGCAACTATTTATAACTATAGGTGCAACTACTTATAACTATAGGTGCACCTATTTTCACCTATAAGTGCATGTAATTTTGCCTTGTTAACATTCATTGATCTGAGTTCAGCGGGTAGTAATACCCTTGAAAATCACCCACAAACATTCATGCACCTAGGTGCAACTACTTATAACTATATGTGCAATTGCTTAGAACTATAGGTGCAACTCCTTATAACTATAGGTGCAACTTCTTATAACTATAGGTGCAACTCCTTATAACTATAGGTGCACTTAGTATTGATGCTCAGTGTAAATTTTTACTTTCACCTATAATACATTTTACATGCACTTGTAATACATTTTACTTGCACTTCGATGTTTAATTATTTACGAAAATGCCACCGCGCTTTTTTAAAAAAATCAGTGTTTCTCATCCATTAGATCTGGACACGTGAACGGACAGAATCCATTCCTATTTCGCGCCTGGGCGAAGCATTCGCACCTGAGTGCGATTATATATATATATATATATATATATATATATATATATATATATATATATATATATATATATTGCATATTTCCTCTTTGATTTAACTCCTTAAAAACATCAAAAAGCCATTATCATATGACCTAAATCCTAATCATTAGTTGTTACATATATGGTGCAGAAGGAAGACATGGAAACATTAATTGGGAGGGGATCAACTACTATACAAATCTCATTGATTCTCTCCTGCTCAAAGGTTTTGTCCTAAATACAATTCCTCACAGTTGATTAATTGTTTTTCAAGAATTAATAACCCCTACCTTAATTTAAATGCATGCAACGAATGTAACAGGAATCGAGCCATTCGTGACTATAAATCATTATGATCTCCCTCAAGAACTCCAGGACCGATATCAAGGTTGGCTCAGCCCTGAAATGCAGTAAGTTGTTGTTCTAGTTTCTTAGGAGATCAAACAGTGCTTTTAATCCATTGTCCTGTTTTTGACCACCCAAAAGCCGTTGAGTTTTCCGTTAAAAATGACATTTTTCAACCATTTAAAAAAAAAAAAAATTTATGGGCTCCTGTTTGGTAAAATAGTTAGTCTATCAGTCAATTTTGGCTTATTTGACCACTATTAATTGTTTGATTTGGTTAAAAATTCAATATAAGTGTTTGGTTAATTAGCTTTTTATAGCTCTAAAATGCTAAAATTTAAAAAGCTGCTCAAAGCAACTTTTTCAATTAGCTTTTTGAGAAAAGAAATTATGTCAAACAGCTATCAGCTAACTATTTACCAAACATCTTCCTACAATCAGTTAATGTTATCAACTAGTTATACCCTCTAATTAACCAAATCAGCTATCAGCTAACAGCCATTTACCAAACAGGGCCATTTCTATTTGTAAGTTTTACCACCAACACATTTAAAAATATCAAAAGTTTTTTTGGTTTAAACATGGAACGTGTTGTCCTAATTTCTGACCACGAAAAGTAAAGACCAATCGAGAAATTAAAGTCGATCAGTTTTAAGAAAAGTGTGTTGACGAGCGACGTGACACAATATTATTTCACTTTCAGGGAAGAGTATGCATACTTTGCAGATGTGTGCTTCAAGCATCTTGGTGATAAAGTGAAGTACTGGATTACCTTCAATGAGCCCAACATGTGGACCATTGCTGCTTATAGGTGGGGGTTGTGGCCACCAAATGGTTGTTCATCACAACCCCATGGCAACTGCAGTGAAGGAGAGCCTTTAATTGTAGCCCACAACATCATCTTAGCCCATGCTGCTGCTGTCAATATTTACAGAAAAAATTACCAGAAACAACAAGGAGGAGGAGGTCAAATAGGAATTTCACTGCTCTTTTACTGGTTTGAACCCATGACCAACTCCACTGCAGACAAAGCAGCAGCTGAGAGAGGTCATTCCTTCATGTCAAACTGGTAAATTAAACTTTCCTTAACAGATAATTATATATTGGCCCTCTTGGGTAAATGGTTATTAGCTGTTAGCTGATTAGGTTAAGTAGAGGGTATAATTAGTTGATAATATTAGCTGATTGTGGAAAAGTGATTGATAAATTAGTTGTTAGCTGATAGCTGTTTGGTATAATTTCTTTCTTCAAAAAACTATTTGAAAAAGTTGTTTTGAGTAGCTTTTTTTATTTTAGCATTTTAGAGTACAAAAAACTAATTAACCAAACACTTATATTGATTTTTAAACCAAGTCAAACAACTAATAGTGGTTAAATAAGCCAAAATTGACCTATAGGCTAACTATTTTACCAAACAGGTCATTGTCCCAATGGCATATGCTTAGCTTGCATAAGGGAAAATGACATTTTTGGTTGAGTTATATATATATACCCAAATATAGATTCGACCGTGCTGCTATGGTTATGTTTAGTTTTGCTCAAGTTGTTGACTTGATAAACAAAATGTTATTCGACTCCCAGCTAGCATTAATTAGTGGTTTAATTACCTGGCCTTATTGTATTCCTTTTCCAGCTACAATCGAGGTTTACTCGTTGCATACTTTCTAATAGTGATTGTAGGTGCATCTTACGAATTTTGGCAATATTGAAAACATACAGGTTCTTGGACCCAATCATATATGGATCATATCCCAAAGATATGAAAGATCTTTTGGGGTCAAATTTACCAGAGTTTTCAAATACTGACCTGGAAAAGTTGAAAGCTGGAGGGTTGGATTTTATTGGAATCAACCATTACACAACCTATTATGCCCAAGATTGCTTGTATTCTACATGTGACCCTTCTATGTCAGGGAACACCAGAGAAGAAGGTTTTGTTGGGCAAAGTCTATCCAAGAATGGCAACTTTATTGGGGAACTGGTAAATATACTTGTATTATATTGTTGATTCACCATATATCTCTATTACACACTTCTTGGCTTTTGCAGACAGGGTTGCCATATCTAGCTGTTTATCCACCTGGAATGGAGAGAGTAGTAACTTACGCGAAAGAAAAATTTCCAGACATACCACTTTATGTAACAGAAACCGGTAAAATGACCATTTCCTTATCCATCATGATTTTCAAATTTAGATCAAACCATGTTGAGATTAACAAGAACAAGAAAAATAATAATGGCAAAAAGGGTAAAGAAGGTAAGATTTACGTGGTTCGGCAATGTGCCTACATCCACGGGAGTGAAACAATACTCTTATTCATAGTGATGGTGATAGTGTTGACATTACCCTTTAAGGATACAACCAATATATTTATAGGCATCCAATCCCTATACAATAGGTCTACCCGTTTCACTCCTAGTATGAGACAAACACTTATTCCTAATCCATGTATGAGACAAACTCAACAATCTCCACCTTGGCGAATATGTTCTTTAGGAGAAAAGATAACTCAACAAATCTCCACCTTGACGAATATGCTCTTTAGGAGAAAAGACTTATCTCACCATCTCCACCTTCACATATATGCCCTTTAGGAGAAAAGACTATCTCCACCTTCGCAAATATGTCCTTTAGGAGAAAAAAACTTATCTCACATATACACATGGGTAGGAACAACCATGCTCATCCCAACTAGCCAGCCACATGCATACGCAGCATCAGACGTTACCCAGTGCATGTACACAAACCGCTTTGTTCCAAGCCATTCGCCCCTCAGCCGTCGACCTGTTATACCGCTGCGACTCATGCTAACTGCCCCGTTCAGCTGACTTCCTGCATCCGGCCCATACCAGGTCCATATCCCCTCCTGGTATCCACGCTGCCCCAACACAACAGCGCCCCTGCAAAGTCACACTAAACCCGTGTGCCTTGCCCAATGCTCCACTAACCAGCAATTATCACTGGCCAGCAACACGCACAACGCAGCATCAAATGTTTCCCAGTGCATGTTCATGAACTTCTTCGTCGTCCCGAGAAGTCCTCCCATACCAGCCGTGACTCATGCCAAGCCTCGGCCCATACCAGGTCCTTGTCTCATGACAAGCCCAACCCGTACCAGCCGTGACTCATCTCAAATTCGGCCTATACCGAGCCAATATTGACCCATATTGATACCAGGTCCACGACCCCTCCTGGTATTCGCGCTACCCAACACCACAACGCCCCTCACCACCTTCTCATCTAGCATCTAGAAACGCCCAACAAGTCCAAACAATGTTCGAACTTGTTACTAGTTACCGCTAGAACATCACCTTCACTATAATAAGAGTCATCAGCATGTACCACGTCTGTAGCTTCCTGCTTCTTCAACTCCCCCAAATCAGCCTCTTCCAGATTTGCTGGCTTTTCTACATTCAAGGTTTTCAGAAGGCCCTGATATGCCAACAAATCCTTTACCCTAGACCGCCATAACCCAAAATTCCCTATACCATCAAACTTTGATACCTCAAATTTTGTACTTGAACTAGCCATCTCAACTATGCTCTGATACCAATTTGTTGAGATTAACAAGAACAAGAAAAATAATAATGGCAGAAAGGGTAAAGAGGGCAAAATTTACGTGGTTCGGCAATGTGTCTACATCCACGGGAGTGAAACAATACTCTTATCATAGTGATGGTGATAGTGTTTGACACTACCCTTTAGGGATACAACCAATATATTTATAGGCATCCAATCCCTATACAATAGTTCTACCCGTTTCACTCCTAGTATGAGACAAACACTTATTCCTAATCCATATATGAGACAAACTCAACAAACCATGTATCAAACAATAATGAAAATTGCAACATGTTACAGGTTATTGTGACACAACCACTCCAAATTCTAGCATTGAAGAAGTGTTGCATGATACTAAGCGGGTCAAATTCTTAGCTGATTATCTACATGCTGTTGGAACTGCCATCAGGTATTACAAATCTTATTTGCCTTAATTATTTGTGATTATTCGTTTCATCATCACTATTAAAAGTAAATTAAATAATATACCCTCATTTCTACACTGTACTATAGTGGCAGTTTTAATCGTTCAACAAACATAAACTTAAGGCAATAGTGCTAAGTTTTAGATTTTTTTCGTCAATATTTTAGTACTTTAGATATTTTATTTTGGGTTGTTGAACAATGTGTAGTCCAAACATGTAAAGGGACCTGTCAAAAAGTAACTAACTGATATACATGTGTATATATATAGTCCAACTATTAGTTTAAAGTTTTAGTTAAGATGAAACACATTATTCAATTTAGGTAAAATAACTAAATTTGAAAATTTTAATGCTTACGTTATGTTTATGGTTGATCAAATTGCTAATATGATAAAGTTGAAGATATATTTTGTAATTTGTTACACCAACAGACTAAAATGACCAATTTGAAGAACGTAACCAAAAACTTTTTTCTTTTCCTGGTACATGTTCAGGAAAGGAGCAGATGTGAGAGGCTATTTTATTTGGTCTTTGTTTGATAACTTCGAGTGGACGAGTGGATACACAAAGAGGATGGGGCTTTACCAGTTTGATCGTGCCACACAAAAGAGAACTCCAAAATTATCTGCAAAATGGTATAAACAGTTCATTGCAAAGAATCAGAAAGTTGATAGTAAAATGCAGTCGAGAAATATGATGCTTCATCAGAATCAATGAAATATGTAGTTTATGTGTAAAACTCTACAAGTCCACAGATCGAACTGTGTAGTAATAAATAATTGAGTAGAGTATCAATGCCATAAGGGCAAATTTATTGCTAAATATTAGAATTGTAATGTTTTATATTTTATTTTACCAAATGAAAATTCAAGAACTAGTTTGAAAATATTACAATACAAGTAGAGTATTGAGAGAAAATAATGTGTTTAGGTTGATTTATTATCTTTCTTATGATTTGGCTAAGGTTAGGCACGCCTTCCTTGCGGTGTTTTATGTGAGAGGGTCTCACATCTTCGGCGAGACATTTACTAAGAAATATTTATTAATTGCTAAAAATATTGTACTTTGTCCTATGGTATTGGCCTAGTGGATAGAAGATATGTCTCGTTTAAGGTTGCAGGGTGGGGGCTTGATTTCTACCACGAACAATAGGGTCAGGATTTGGTTTAGGTTCATTGTGTGCGTAAGTCTACAATATGATATTAAGCTTGAAAACTATATTAACTCGATTTACTTCATTATAGCGGGTCCTTGGTGTTTAAGATTAGGGATGTCAATTTCTCTTGTCTCCCATGAGGATCCTCGATACCCCCCCCCCCCCCCCTCCCCCTTAACGGGGATGGGAATGGAGAAAAAAAATTGGGGAACAAAGGCGGGGATGGGAATGGAGAAAAAAAATTGGAGAACAGAGGCGGGGATGGAGAATGTATGTTTTCAATTCCCCGTCGGGGGACGGGGAAGGGAATGGGGATATCCCTCCCCACCCTGCCCCGTCCCCGATAATAATAATAATAATAATAATAATAATAATAATAATAATAATAATAATAATAATAATAATAATAATAATAATAATAATAATAATAATAATAATAATAATAATAATAATAATAATATTATTATTATTATTATTATTATTATTATTATTATTATTATTATTATTATTAAGGACTGAAAATGGTTGATTTAAAATGTAAGGACTAAAAGTGAAAGTACCACCAAAGTCGGAGGATGTCCACTGGTATTTACTCAGAATAATAATACTTTGTGTTTCTCAATTATACTTGTGATCACTTTTTGTCACTCAATTATTTGCGACAAAAAATGTAAGTTCCTTATACGTTAGGGACTATAGGTACTATTTTCGAGATAAAAAATATTATGTGTACCCTTATTTTTTATTCTCAACTTCTAGCATTCTCACATTCTTACCAGTTTTTTTCTCTTCCTTTCTTTTCTTCTTTCAATGGTGGTTCATGTTAATATTGGGAAAATCACAAACCAAATCATTTTTATGACTCTTTGGTGCAGTATGAAGGGGCTTATTTAAGCCATGGCAAAGGCCTAAGCAACTGGGATGTTTTCACCCATCAACCAGGTTAATTTCTTCAAAGAAATGTTAGCAATATCTCTCTCATAATTGATATCTTTTTAGTTGTGTTGCCTCTCGAATTGCAGATTAGACGTTTTGTCTCAAAATTTGCAGAAGTGATATCTCTGTCATAATTGATACTCTGTATCTGTATCTTCTTAATTGTGTTGCCTCTGGAACTGTAGATTAGACGTTTTGTCTCAAAGCTATAAACTATATAATGATGCATTATATATTTGTATTTGATAAACCAACAACCATTAATCATTTAGTTTGACCAAAATTCGATAAGCATAGTTAACTTTGCATGCTAAGATCACAATTCACAAAGGCGAGATTTACACAGTGTTCTAATGGCATATGCATAATAAATTAATAATGAAGTCACATCGATCTTATGAACTTTGCCAGTATTCAAAACAGGTTCTTAGACCCAATCATATATGGATCATATCCTAAAGTAATGAGAGATCTGTTGGGGTCACTTTTACCAGAGTTTTCAAGTACTGACCTGAAAAAGCTTGAAGCTGGAGGGTTGGATTTTATAGGAATCAACCATTACACTTCCTATTATGTCCAAGATTGCTTGTCTTCTACATGTGACACTTCTATGGGAGGAAACACCAGAGAAGAAGGCTTTTTTGGGCTAAGTCATTCCAAGAATGGCAACCAAATAGAGTTGTATTCTCTTGATCTATTCACCATCTCCATTATGCATTAATTACACTTATCATGTTTTTGGAACATGTTAATTGGCTTTTCCAGACAGGATTGGATTATCTAGTCGTTTATCCACTTGGGATGGAGAAAGTAGTAACTTACGTGAAAGAAAGATTTCCAAACATACCAATTTATGTAACAGATCGAAAACGGTAAGGATCGCTTCATTGATCTCTTTTGGTTTTTCAATTTAGCTCGAACCAGGTATCAAACGTTGATGGATATGAAAAATGTAACATTTTACAGGTTATTGTGACATAACTACCTCAAACTCTAGCATTAAAGAAGTGTTGTATGATACCAAGCGAGTAAAATTCTTGACCGATTATCTACATGCTCTTGGAACTGGAATTAGGTATGATAAATAAATAATCAAATTTATATGACATATGACAAAATTCTCTGCCCATATCATTTGAATGATATATGACAACAATGTTAATTTTTTTCCTTCATACATGGGCAGGAAAGGAGCAGATGTCAGAGACTATTTTATTTGGTCGTTGTATGATAACTTTGAGTGGAATATGGATTCACAAAGCGACTGGGGCTTTACCATTTTGATCGTGTCACGTTAAAGAGAACTCCAAAACTATTTGCAAAATGGTACAAACAATTCATTGCAAAAAATCATAGAGTTGGAAGCAAAGCGCAAACAAGAAATATCATACTTCACCAAAATCAATAAAATATATAGGTGTGTAAAACTCTATATGTACACAACTCGAACTTGTATTTGAGCTTTAGAAGTTTTACCTTCTATTGAACTAGTTTTCGAGATTTGCTATTCTCGGGTTCAATACCTCATTGGGCATGTCTAGAGTAGTTGTTATGGACATTATCTTCTCAAGGTTTGGTTAATGATTCTATTTCATGTCGACTTTACAGATACTACATAAGAATTCAAGCATATTATATTGATTAGGGCAATTGATGATATGGATGATGGTGATGATTTTATCTATAGTTTGAACTTTAATATTCAATAGCCAGATGATGAAAGATAACCTTCTTGATTTATTATTGCTTCATGTCTACAACACTTAGCATTGAATGCGTAATATAAATTCATAGTTTATGAACATTCTAGAGATAAATTTGGATAAGCAATATAAATCTATTACTCCGTATATTTTTTATCACACCAAAAATTGTATATTTGTAGTTTTGTACTGCTAAACTCTATTGTTTTAAATAAGAGAGTCAATACTACACTTATAGAAAAACGTAATTGTTACATGCATGTCTAGAAGTATTTATTTGATCTTACAATAATTGTTATCACGTGTTATACTATGTTTAAAGAGACATTCCAACAAACTCCTCTAGTGAAGAACTGTTCAATTCCTATGTGTTCTTGATCCAACAATCTAGAAGTCTTATATCTAGTGATGATGGCATTTTAAGTTCATGTTACGTGACAACTAACATTTGAAAATTGAGCAAGTTTAAATGTGTGAATTTCCAGAAATGATAGAAAAAAGATACATTTCTTGTTGGCTACAATTAATGTGGTACATGTGTTGAGTATGCAAATGTCACCATAAGACCATCTCAAATTAATAAGACGGCAAATTGACAATTTGGCGTAAGTTTTGACACGACAGAGTTTCAACGAAAATGGTATCGTGGTACATATTTTGTCGTTGATAACTATTATAGCGCCATATATGGCGTTACATTGTTCATCTACGCCATATTTGGTGTAGTTTTTTTCCCATTTGTCTTTGTTTTTATTTGCTAATTCCTTTTATATCATTTATAAATATCTTGATTAAAACAAAACTAATATTGAATATAAATTAATTAAAAAATAAATTACATAAAACATAATTTTAACAAAATCCCAAAATTATAATTATATTTTGTATTAAAATATTTAAATTATTTTACAAGGCTGTGTGTGTGTCTCTCTCTCTTTTTTTTTTCCTGCTAAAAGATTTGTAAATTATGTATAAAATATTGTACATTGTATTTTTTTTTCTTCAAACAAAACTATTTTCATTTGGGGCACCCCAACTAAGTTGATCATGTTGAGATTTAGTAACCACAAAGTCACAAGTTCAATTTCTAGCAAGAGTGATCTATTTATCTTCTTGATTAGAGTCGTCCAATAGTTTACCTTAATTGTGGCCATTTACTAGCAAGATCAACAGAGTTTACCATGTACACACCCTCAGATACTAAATGTGAATTTTCCATATCACTCAACATTATCCTTATCCCATTAAGTTGGACCGTTAACCATGATTTTAGCATTGGATAAAATATTATGTATTTTTTTCTACACATACAAAAACTAGTTTAAATAATAAGGTTGAATTGGTTTGAAAAAATTCTTTATATATAAATCACACATTTCAATATTTTTTACTTTACCATATATAATTATTGTATTTTACCAGGATTATATGGTTTAATGGTACTCGGGTTGAACTTTCATTTAGAAGGTTGTGAGTTCAAGCTTTAGTGGAGGCGTTATTGATTCTTTGTGTTTTAGTAGGTTGAGAAAGTTATCTCTTACTTTGTCAGCCACATACTAAAAAAACAACTCACAACGGTCCTTATTTTCATTTTACTCAATAAAATAAACGCCTACAGTATTGTTTTGACAATAAGGGTACGATTGATTTAACTTTTACACTAATCTTATAATCTTATAATTAAATAAATGTACACTTTACCAATGACTTTATGGTCTAGTAGCACGAAATGGTTTTTCCAACTAAAGGTCATGAGTTCGAACAAAATATTCTATCCGTGAATCGCATGATAATTTACTAGTATACTAAGGAGTTAATTCCACTAGAGGTCTCTTGTCTTTGGTGGCAATTTCAAATTTAATCAGAGACTATTGTTTTTGCCATTTAACATCATAGACTACTATTTTTTGGAAACTTTTAGTCATTCTCATAACTTTTCCTATTTTTAGTAAGGGCATTTTTGTCTTTTCATATTTTTCTTTTGTTATTTTCCTGGTTTCAACCGGTTTATTATAACTTTAGGTAACCTCCGATTGTTAGTAACCATATTTTTTAACCGATTTTTAGTAAAGTCCTAAATCAATTAAACCGGTTGAAATTAGAAAACTAACAAAAGAAAAATATAAAAAGATAAAAATTCACTTACTAAAAATAGAAAAAAGTTATTAGAAGAATTAAAAGTGTTCAAAAAATAATAATCTGGTATGTTAAATGACAAAAACAATAATTTTTTAATATTAAATTTAAAATTATCACAAAAAAACAAAAGAACTCTAGTGAAATTAACTCTCTATTAAAAGAAATTGACTTCGTTAGAGTTTGGGGAAACGTGGAAAAGTCGTATTCAAGTGAAAGCTCCGTGGTTCAAACGACGTCGTAAAGGTGGGGCAGAAGTCAAATACGACTTTTTTCTACCGACCGACCGGCGTCCATTCCAATCAGAAACCGTCCGGTCCGTTCCGTTCCTTCGGAGAAAACAATAACTGAAAAAATGGACTCAACGCAGTAGAGAGAGAGAGATTTTCTCTCTAATTCTCTAGATTTCTCTGTACTGTTATATATACATACACTAATATATGCGGACACATCGAATCGATCAGGCTCTTGGTCTCCGTAAAATCCGCGGATCCGGGTCGCATCCAGCAATATCCATTGATCCGATTGCGGCCACTTCAGTATCTCTAGTCTAGTCTAGTCTAGGGAGATAAGGTCGTAATTCCGCAATGTCATGGGGTTTGGGGTGGAAGCGTTCATCGGACGTCTTTCACCTGACCCTGAGCTACGGCGCCGACGATTTCCTGGATGACGCTTCGCCGACGTCATCGCGATCGTCCTCGGCGGCTTCGCCGTTCGCTGCATCGGCATCGCCCACGGCGGCGTTTCAGGATGGGCAGCAGTTAGGGTTTAGGATTGAGCTGGATTGGAATGCCGGCGATGATGAGGATCAGGTGGCGCTGAAGCTTCAGTCGCAGGTGATGGTGGCGCTGCCTTCGCCGCAGGATACTGTGGAGGTGGAATTGATGGCGAGGGGGGAGGAGGGTGACGGTGAGGTGGGGGTGGAGATGAGGGTGATGAAGCGGAGAGAGCCGTTGCAAGGGGTGGTAATGTGGAGGGCTGGCGGTTCCGGCCAGCAGGGTGATGGAATGGGCGTGCTCTTGAAGTTGATGAGATCGAATTTCTCTAATGGAGTCGGGACGGGTGCTGATGGGGAACCTCTATCGAGCTGTGCTGAGCATTGGAGGAGTGTCACTGTTGTTAGCCTCGCCGGCCTTGGACTAACAGTGAGTTCCTTTTACCTACATTTGAGCATTGTACTAGGATGCCTTTAGCCTTTTTTTTCCTGAATGTACTTCACACTTTATCTTATGAGGGAACTATTATACTCTTGCTGAGATTTTAAAGTAACTGGATATTGGATACTGACTACTGAGAAATTGGAATGCTATATTAGTTTCCGAAGTCTGGCAATGAGGAGAATTTCATGAGGCATACAGTAGAAACCTGATGCTACTGTATCATTACTATGTAGTACAAACTGTAAATATCCAATCAGTCTATTTCTTAACCTGAAGGATTTTGCCTCTGGATTTAGTTTGATTATATCAGACAGTCTTTTATACCATACTATACCATCTGCAGGGGTTGCCTGTAGCGATAAGCCAATTGCCTCTTCTTGAAAGGCTTTACCTTGACAACAACAAGCTTGCAACTCTGCCACCTGAGCTTGGTGAGCTGAAGAGTTTGAAGGTTCTAGCTGCTGACTGCAACATGTTGGTCTCTGTCCCTGGTAAGCTTGGAACTGCATTGGGTAGTAATAGATTTGGACACATGTAGCTGTGTGAACTACTTCATTGCAAGCACACGTACATCATGTTTGTATTAAGCACTGAAATAAAAGAAAAGACAAATATTTAGTTCTTCTATAAATCTATAAAATTATGTGAATGACCTGACCTATTCATTGTTTTTCCATTAATGCCATTTCTTGTTGTGCTTTGAAATTCTGAATAGTTGAGTTGAGACAGTGTGTTGGACTGGTTGAATTGTCACTTGAACACAACAAGTTGGTTAGGCCGCTTCTTGATTTCAGGTCTTTCTATCAACTTTTTTAATACCTTCAATTCAATTCTCTGATAGACTTTACATCAATTTGTTCTTGAGGTTTATTGTTTTTCTTTGGCTCAATGATAGGGCAATGACTGAGTTACGTGTTCTGAGGCTATTTGGTAATCCCCTAGAATTTCTTCCTGATATATTACCATTGCACAAATTACGCCACTTATCTCTTGCCAATATTAGGATTGTGGCAGATGACCATTTAAGATCAGTTAATGTGCAGATAGAGGTAAAGATCATTCTTTCTGAAGTCCGTTTATTCTTTTTATGTTCCCCCTCTTTTCCCTTCATCGCTTTGGCTTTATGAACCGGCAATATAATTTTTTTGAATTCATTGCAGATGGAAAATACTTCTTACTTTGTTGCTTCTCGACATAAACTCAGTGCCTTCTTCTCTCTCATATTCCGCTTTTCTTCTTGTCACCATCCTCTGCTAGCATCTGCCCTAGCAAAGATAATTCAAGATGATGGAAATCGTATAGTTGTTGGAAAAGATGAGAATGCTGTAAGGCAGCTCATAAGTATGATAACTAGTGAGAATCAGCATGTGGTATGGTAGCTTGAATTGTTGGAGTGCCTTTTGTTTTAGTTTTTTCAGATTTGAGGTATAATTGATTATCATTTTTTCAGGTAGAACAGGCTTGCTCTGCTCTTACATCTCTTGCCTCAGATGTCTCTGTTGCAATGCAGTTAATGAAATCTGATATCATGCAACCTATAGAAAGAGTACTTAGATCTTCTAGACCTGAGGAAGTTATATCTGTTTTGCAAGTATTAGCAAAGTTGGCTTTGGCCTCTGATACTGTTTCTCAAAAAATGCTGACCAAGGATGTATTGAAGTCATTGAAATTATTATGTGCTCACAAAAATCCTGAGGCAAGCCTTAATGATTGTTGTTTTTGCTGTTTCATTCAAATAGACATATAGATATATTCTCTTTTTGCAAACCCTACTTTTTTGCCTTTTTATCTGAAAAATTTGTTATTGTTGGTTAGGTACAAAGGTTAGCTTTATTTGCAGTTGGAAATTTAGCTTTCTGCTCAGAAAACCGGTGTGTTCTTGTTGCGCCAGAAAGCTTAAGGGAACTTCTTCTACGCCTGACTGCTTCATCCGAGCCACGCGTGAGCAAGGCTGCAGCTCGAGCTCTAGCAATTCTAGGTTGATTTTCTGGAGACAATAGCTTGTTATATTTGGAATCTTATTTTGGATCTTGTGGGACTTACTTTTTGCCACATTAGGGGAGAATGAGGTTCTACGGCGTGCTATTCGAGTCAGACAGGTGCCCAAGCAGGGGTTACGCATACTTTCAATGGATGGTGGTGGAATGAAAGGTCTGGCAACTGTAAGAATTCTTAAGGAAATTGAGAAAGGTACTGGGAAACGGATACATGAGCTCTTTGACCTTATTTGTGGCACATCAACTGGTGGCATGCTTGCAGTCGCTCTTGGAATCAAGCTGATGTCTTTGGAAAAATGTGAAGAAGTATACAAGGATCTTGGTGTGTTTTCTCTGAAACAAACTTAATTTTTGCCTCTTCAGTATTTTTGTTTGTTTTATCATGGAAATTCCATAACCATATCTCTCCTCCATACATCCCCTTTGTGATGCTCTTTGCAGGAAAGCTCGTATTTGCTGAACCTGTTCCGAAGGACAATGAAGCAGCATCTTGGAGAGAAAAGCTGGATCAACTCTACAAGAGCTCATCTCAGAGTTTCCGAGTCGTTGTACATGGATCTAAAGTATGTGATGGCATTTAGTGTAGTTATTTGCTTTCTTTTAGTTTAAGTGCAATTACAATTTTAATTGTCTCTACTTCTTTAGTATGTTTAATATTGAAATAAAAATAAATAAAATAAAAAATAAAAAAAAGTTATCAGGGTGCCTGATATTTTCATGCTAAAGAAATAGAATTCTTTGAATGTGCTTTTATGTATTTGATAATGTTTTGAAATTATATTTTTAAAAGAAAAATTCAAAATGATTTTGGAATTTGTTATTTCATGGTGAAGTTTTGCTAAGAAGTAAGAAATGCGAATTAAATTATTTTTGGATGAATCTTTCATTATGTCATGAAATTTGGATAACATGTTATCTTCTTCCAGCACAGTGCTGATCAGTTTGAGAGATTGTTGAGGGAGCTATGCACTGATGAGGATGGAGATCTTCTTATAGAGTCAGCAGTGAAAGGCATTCCTAAAGTTTTTGTAGTGTCAACTCTGGTCAGCGTGTCACCAGCTCAACCCTTCATATTCCGAAATTATCAGGTCTAATATGAATTAGCATATGACCTAATGATCCAAAAGTCAGTTATGGAGTATTTATGAAATTTCCTCATTTTGATTGCAGTACCCTCCTGGTACGCCAGAGCCGGCAATAGGGGGTGTGGGAGCAGCAACTACTGGAGCTCAAGTTGGATTGAAGCGTAATGCCTTTATTGGAAGCTGCAAGCATCATGTTTGGCAAGCCATACGTGCATCATCTGCTGCACCATATTATCTTGATGATTTCTCTGATGGTACCTTCTTATGTTTGCATAAAATTGAACACCTTCTCTTTCTCCTGAAGTTGGTTGTTTATTAAGGTTTTTGTTGAGCATCTTCTGCTATTTTACACTCTGTTTCTTCTTTGAATATTAATTTCTGCAGGTGTATATCGCTGGCAAGATGGTGCTATTGTAGCAAATAATCCTACTGTTTTTGCCATGCGAGAAGCACAACTATTATGGCCAGACTCAAGAGTTGACTGCTTAGTTTCAATTGGATGTGGTTCTGTTCCAACAAAGGTAATTGGTTACATACGAGACCCCGTTTAAGGTCTTAAATCTGCTTTCTATCTCTCCCTTTCTAGGGAATTTTTATGGAACTTCTGAGCATGTTTCTGGTCATGAGTTGTGAGCAATAAAAGAGATACGAGTACATATAAATTTGGGCATTTTGAACATAGTGGAGTGAATTTTTAGTGAGTCGGGGTAAATTTAGTTTCCAATTGGATAAGTCCTAAAAGTTTGCTGCAAAGCAGTACAGATTGTCCAGTTCTTTGTTTAATGCTTTTCCTTGTATTTTCACTTGGATTCTTAGACTTGTGTAACTACTCATGTGGTTTTATGGACCAGGCTAGGGCTTACTTGCTGTTATTGGTGGAACTTTGGTTGAACATAGTACTAGTTGTTGATATTGCCTTTCTACTTTAAATCTACATTTATTTGTTTGCATCTATCTTCCTGCTATGTTAGGTAAGGAAAGGTGGATGGCGATATCTGGATACTGGTCAAGTGTTGATTGAGAGTGCATGCTCTGTTGATCGGGTGGATGAAGCATTGAGTACATTGCTTCCTTTGCTTCCTGATGTGCATTATTTTCGTTTCAATCCAGGTAAAATTAATAGTTTTATTTTCATTGAACTTTATGTTAAAGGCAGTTTTGCTTTGGCAATTACCTCTTGAAAATTTGGCAGTTATTAAAGATACCAGGAGTTGGTGACTTTTGAGTATTTCACCATATTATGCCTAGCAGACTAAATATTCTTCTTCTGCAGTTGATGAACGTTGCGATATGGAGCTTGATGAGACAGATCCTGCGGTTTGGTTGAAATTGGAGGCTGCAACAGATGATTACATTCACAATACATCTGCTGTTTTTAAAAATCTCATTGAAAGATTGTTAGCAAGCCCACATGATGAGAAACTATTCGATAGTTCAAAGTCTCAACATCTCCACAAAGGAATGAATTCAAAAGGTGGTACTATGTGCTGGATCCTTTTCTAATACTCTGTATTAGCTTTCTAGATTTTATTGATAAGATAAATTTTTGAACTTACTGTCTCACCTCTGATATTTATGGTTTCAGATGAGAGTAGCCCCTCCTTAGGTTGGAGGCGGAGTGTCCTCCTTGTGGAGGCTTCCAATAGCCCAGATTCTGGAAGAGTATTTCACCATGCTCGCTCGCTTGAATCGTTTTGTACCAGGAATGGGATAAGGCTATCTAGTTTTAATGGTATACCAGGAATTGTAAAAGCCACTGGATCAAGTTTCCCAACACCCTTTGCATCACCTTTATTCACTGGGAGCTTCCCATCAAGCCCTCTCGTATACAGTCCTGATTTTGGGCATCATAGGGCTGGTAGAATTGATTTAGTGCCGCCTTTAAGCTTGGATGAACTTCAATATGCAAAAACAGGTGTATCGCCTCCCGAGTCACCTGCTAAACGCCCACACTTTTCTATGCCCATCCGATCTTTGTATGAAAAATTACAGAATTCACCCCAGGTTGGAGTTGTGCACTTGGCACTGCAAAATGACATGTCTGGCTCCATAATGAGGTTAGAGGTGCCATCAATGTTTACCTGTTTGAAGTTTCCACTGCATCTCTAATCTTTTGTATTTTTATGCTGTAGTTGGCAGAATGATGTATTTGTAGTCGCCGAACCAGGAGAGCTTGCAGAGAAATTTCTTAAGAGCGTCAAATTTAGCTTGTTGTCAATGCTGCGAGGTCGGAGGAGGAAGTATGCATCAGTCATCAACGGTATCTCAAATGTTGCGGATCTGGTTTCATTTAGACCATTCTTCCAAATTGGAGGCGTTGTTCACCGTTATATAGGGCGACAAACTCAAGTATGCTTTGCTGACACCCACCTTTTATTTTTCGGCAAGTCATTTGTTTTTAGCCGCTTGCAAGTTAATACTTCTCTGATGTTTTCTGAAGGTCATGGAAGATGACCAAGAAATCGGTGCATACATGTTTCGTAGAACAGTCCCTTCGATACACTTAACCCCAGACGACATTCGGTGGATGGTATGTTATCTGATACTATATTTGTTTTATTTTTATTCACCCAAACACATACATTATATATATGCATAGGTTACAGAGTACTTATTAGTCACAGTTGTATGCTACTGCATTTTGCGGGTGCATTCATACTCTAACCACAATCCATTCTTCCATGAATTGCTGAAACCGAAACCGAAAAGTTCATTCAAATTATGAAAAAATCACCGGTGTCTCAACTGTTTCTATGTGATGCCTTTTTCATTTCCAGGTTGGAGCTTGGAGGGACAGAATTATAATCTTCACGGGTATATACGGCCCTACACGAGCTTTAATCAAGGCATTTCTAGACTCAGGTGCTAAAGCCATTATATGCCCTTCCACCGAGCCTGATGAAACGCAGTTGTCAACCTTTCACGGTTCAGGTGAATTCAACGCATTAGAGAATGGAAAATTTGAGATCGGGGAAGAAGAGATAGAAGACGAAGAAGACACCGAACCTTCCAGTCCAGCTAGCGACTGGGAAGACAGCGATCCAGAGAGAAACAACGGAGGGGGGCGAGCAAATTGCTTATGGGATGACGACGAGGGCCAGTTGTCACAGTTCGTCTGTGAGCTGTATGATTCTTTGTTCCAGGGCGGTTCGAGGATAGACGATGCCCTGAAACAATCTCTTGCCACACTTCGCACCCTGAGGTATTCCTTCCATCTCCCCAGTGTAACATAGTTTCATCAGTTGAGTTGCCATTGTCCCATTGTCCCTGTAACAGAGGGGAGTGGGGCAGGGTCCGCGGGGATAGGGATGGGGAGTATACTCCCCGCCCCGTTGCTATTCCTAATTCTGTAGTCTAAATTAAGGCTTCTGTAGGGGGTTCCCCAGACCCCAGTTATACTACTGTGTAAAGAGCACCATATGCTTGTATTTTAAAAGAGTACAGAAAAGGGAACTTTGATTACTGGCATTTAAAAAAAAAAAAAAAAAAAAAAAAAAAAAAAAAAAAAAAAAAAAAGGAGAAGAAAACACTATAGAGTGTGAGATATGACGAGAAGAAATTTTTGGATTATAAGTTATAAACGAGTGGGGTAATTGTTTCAATTTTGAGTATATTATACAATAATAAGGGATAAATTGAATATGAGTTTTTTTTTTTTTTTTTTGTTATTATTATTGTTGTTGTTGTTTGTTATTATTATTATTATTTGTTTTTAATTGAGTTAAAACACACTATCTACTCAATATTCTCAACCTCAAAACATTTGGCTCATCATCAAGAAGAATTAAAGGGCATGTTTGGTTATTATTGGCGGATCCGCTAATTTTCATGGTCAAAAAATCAAAGCCTATGGTGTTGTTTGACAATCAACGGTTAGCGGATTGTGTTAACGGTTAGTAAATAGCGAATTGTGTTAACGGATTTGACTATCGATTTATAAAAATATGTTTGGTAAAATTAGTTGTTTAAGTTAACGATTAACATGTAAAATGACCTAAAAGGGTATACATACATACATATATATATATATATATATATATATATATATATATATATATATAATAATAAATAAAGAAGAAGGATGAGGGGTGCGGCTCCCTTTTGTTTTCTCACTTTTCTCACATCGGTGTGAAAAGTGGAGAAAGAATCTTGAGGTTCCTATAAATGGAACGTCAAGGCTTCATAAGTTTTAGTCGTGCCCATTCGAATTCGGCTGGGCATGACAATGAAGAGCCTTTAAACTCCTCATATCCGCTCATTTATGATGAGTCTTAGATGCTTTTTATTGTCATGCCATTCGGCTGTGCACGACTAAAACTAAAAAATAAATTAAAAAAATTAACTATTTATAGGAGCCTCAAGGCTCCTTCCTCACTTTTTCCATTGATGTGGAAAAACAAAGGGGATCCGCATGGTTCCCCTTCTTCTTCTCTTTTTTTTTTTTTTTTTTTTTAAAAAATTATTATTATTATATGTATACCTTTTAGGTTATTTTACATGATAATCACATATTTTTACAAATCGTTGATACAAACTCGTTAATACAATCTGCTATTTTCTAACCGCTAACATAATTCGCTAACCGTTGATTGCCAAACAAAACCTTTGTCAGAAGAGATATAGGTGGACATCAGTAGGGTGTTCATTCGGTTAATAATCAAATCAACTAATTTTTTAAATGTTTAAGTATTAATCTAATCGAAATTTATATTTTCGAATTAATCAATTAATCCAAATATTCTAGTCTAATTTTAAAACCCTTAAAATTTATAAATAAATTTTGTAAATTTATAATTTCACACCATAAAATATTCATTATAGCAAGACTAGATACCCAAAATGGTTTCTCAACTCACAAATTGGTCTGACTTTCAATTTCAACTAATTAAGTTCTTAACTTTGCAATTTTGACACGATTTGGTCCTCCATCTAGTTGACCGTTTGTTGACCGTGATCGACGATCTCCAGAAGAACCTTCAGCTCTCGTCGGAGCATGTGGAGGCCTCCAGGATGACGTTGCACCGGTTCGGAAACACGCCGTCTTCTTCGCTCTGGTTCGAACTCAACTACATTGAATCCAAAGGGAGTATGAAGAAAGGCGACCGGGATTTGGTAGATTGCTTTCGGCAGTGGATTCAAATGTAACAGTGCGATCTGGAAATGCAACCGGAACCTTAAAAAATCGACGATAGACCATGAAATTATATATATATTCTCAAAAATCACAGTCAACAAACGGTCAAATAGACAGAGGACCAAATTGTATTAAAATTACAAAGTTAAGGACTTAATTGGTTGAAATTGAAAGTCGAGAATCAATTTGTGAATTTATTTATTTGTTTGTTTTAAAAAAAAAAAAAAAAAAGTGAAGTGGCACGTCGGAAAAGAATCCAAACGTGTCATCTCCTTCCTCTCTCTCTCCCTAAACCCCTCGCAAAATCTCCCTCTCGATGCCGGATCAATGGCTATTTTCAGATCACTCAAAACGCTAATTTCCCGCACCAGAAACAGAAAGCCCGGCGATCCTTCCAGAACCTTCTTCACCACAACTTTCTCTTCCTCATTCGTGCCGCCTCTCTACACCGACCCCTCCGTCTATCGCCGCCGCCGCCATTTCCTCGCCCGCCCTAACTTCTTCTCTCCCGCCGCCTTCACCGGCGCCACCACCATCGTAGCCAACTCCTGCCCGCTCTTTCTCTCCTCTCCTCCCTGGAAGCTCTCCCAATCCGCTACTCCTCTCCACCTCCAGCCCAACCTCGTCCTCCTTCGAGTCAGAGCTCTCAATTTGAAGCTTCCGTACAAGCTAGGGCTTCAGGCGACCTCCTCTGCTCCGAGACTGCTCCTAAATGGGCCCCAGGAGAAGCAATTCGCTGAATCTCACCTCGTTGCTGAAATTAGAGATAGCTTTGTCAATTTGCCTAATTTCATTTCGTTCAGTCGATTGCTTTCCGGCCCATTACTCGCGTGGTATTGTGTTTTATCCCATATTTTCAGCTTAAATGCGAGGATATATGGGAGAATATATGTAAAAGTTTCTCATGACTTGATATCATCAATTACACTGCCAAGATATGAAAATTATTACTTCGATATGCTATATTGCTATCATTTGTCGAGTTTCTTATCGGCCTCTGCACTGGAGATTCTGAGTTGGATTTACTATCCGGAAGCAATTAATATACAGAATATGTGCACTTGTTTCTGGAATCTGATTGTTCCTTTATGAAAAGCATTATAATGTTTTGAATATATTGTACTCATTCAATCTATTGAAGTGCATAGTGCTGTTGGAATTTCCATTAAACATATAGTGAAGTAGGACATTTATGGAACTGCCACGCAGGAGAACTAACAACATGAACATTTCGTGCCATGCTTCAATTAGGCTATAGTTAGCTGTATTGAAATTTTCTTTAAAAAATGCTTTGCAGGATGATCACACAAGATATGTATCTTCCTGCATTTATTGGGCTAGCCATATCTGGTGCAAGTGATTGGGTATGGATTTTGTTTCTCTTTCTTTTCTTATTTAAAATTTATGTCCCTTCCTAAAGTTTTATTTCCCATTGCAGCTAGATGGGTACGTGGCCAGGAAGATGGGGATAAATTCTGTAGTTGGTTCCTACCTTGATCCGCTTGCTGACAAGGTAATAATGGAATTCCTTGCATCAGCTCTTTCTGCTCTATCAATTAACCTATACTGCTGTATGAAACTCCTATTTTTCTCTATTTTTATTTTATTCTAATGTTTCAGTGATGCAGCAGAGAAAGTTTCCGTCAGGTCATTTATTCGTTGTAAGGCTCAATTTGTTAACTAGCTCATGAAATCTCTTTATTACAGGTGCTAATTGGATGTGTTGCTCTAGCAATGGTAGAGAGGGATCTTTTGCACTGTGAGTGGATGTTTCAATTCCTTTCCCAGTATTTTCTTAATTCCTTTTCTGCTATGTCTTGTCGCCTTAGTGCTTTAAAGGCCGCATATATGAGTTCTTCTCAGTTCTCAAACCGTTCTGTATTGTCAGTGGAATTACTTAATCATCCCATGCATTATATGCTCCTCTTCCTTTTCTCCGTCATTAGAACCTATTTTCCTTTCTCTTTCTACTTCAGCATGATATGCAATTGCCTTTAGTGAAGGGTGGAAAGAATAAACTTCCCTAGCGAATCAAGATTTGTTCAATATTGCAAGATGCAAACTTTGAAATGGGTCTTTTGTTTTGCACTGTGAAGCTGGACTCATTGCACTTGTTGTACTACGCGATGTTGCCCTCGTTGGTGGTGCGGTTTACCAAAGAGCTAGCAGTTTGGGATGGAAGGTGAAACAGGATATGCCTCGAGTGTTGTCATCAGCCAATCTTAGTCTTGATTTTGATTTTTTTTGTTTTTTCCTAATTAAGATTTCTTTACCAGTGGACAAGTTGGATAGACTTCTTCAACCTGGATGGAATGCGTCCCCATAAAGTTGAGCCTCTCATGATTAGCAAGGTATTTCTCTATTTTCTTTAGCTGGATTATTTGGTTAGCCATCTGTGAGCAACAATAGGAGAATGAATAGTTATCTTTAAGCCTTTAACTTTGAGTTTTGGTGAAGTTGAGAAAGAAATTTGATTATTAGCGATCTCTAATCTGATTTGGTGTGCTTGACAGATAAACACTGTTTTCCAATTGGTCTTAGTTGCTGCAGCCCTACTTCAACCTGAATTTGGTAACGAGGAAACGCTATCATATATCAAATATTTAAGGTATCCAACGAAACACCCACCGTATTTTCTCTCTCAAATTTCGCATAAAATATAATGAAATTGATAGCATTACACCTTTTGGCTTGATGCAGTTGGTTAGTTATGTTAACGACAGTAGCTTCAACTGCTGCATATGGAGCACAACACCTCAGGACTGGATCTTTACCCATAAAGAAGAGTTAAAGGCACGTTTTGAGTTTTGACTAACTTAAAGTTTTTGTTTCTCATCTCTTTTCCCCTTTTCTAAAGGAAATAAGCCATGCCTGACTACTTTTTCATGTTAAATTTTACTGAAAACATGTCATCTGAGCTTTTGTTGTATATTTGCAGTTTTACATGTAACTGTGTAAGAAATGTTATAGGAGAACTTGAATTTAACGAAAGAGCGTTGACACGTTTTTTTGGTACTCCTTCTGTACTATTTTATTTGTCTTACTATTCATTGGTCAATCCAACTCTTTCTTCTTTACTTATTTCTATTAGCATTTTTTTTATAATTTTTAAATTTGATTTTTTTTGTGTTTAATAGTACTTTTAATGTAGTTTCTAAATATATAAATTTTGCATACTAATTTTAAACATAAAATTATAAAAATTAAATTGTAAATAACTTCAGTTAAGCCTCCGACACATAAAATGGGACGAAGAGAGTATATCTTAGAGACTTAGACAGTTAGAGATCGAGTTTTTAAGTTTTCTCAGTCAGTTGGTTGTTGTCCGGTATGAGCTCAAAGAGTGGCATAACACTTTCTCAAGTGTTTTAAGGTGTTTACATTTCTAAAGTTCGAGCCTGAAATCTTTGGTTAAGCTGTGAGTCTAAGGTGATTATATTTTTAGAGTTCGAACTTAAAATTTTTAGTTAAGTTGGAAGATACTCGTGTTGCATTGTCATTGACACTTTATGGGTGCATAGTTATAAAAATTGGCATGTGTTAAGTACGGAAATATAAAATAATTTTCCTATACCAAACGTCTTACATGTAATTCAATGATTTCATTAAAGCATGTGTTCACGTGTGCCTCCCAACTATTTATTTCGAACATTTTAAATCCCCTCATAGCTATTTATTTCCATTTGAAAAGAAGTTGACCTAAATTGGAAGGAGCACGTTTTAACGGTGACGGAGGAAACCATGTAAAGAGAAATTGATTAAAAGTACAAAGAGATAATTCCTTTATAAATACGGAGTAATTAATAGCAAACATAATTAAATAAACTTTTGAACAAAAGTTTTTACATTAACCCTTGAAGTTTAAAAAAAAAAAAATTGCATTTAATACTTTTTATGGGTTACCATTAGGTGACTTGTTGAATGGACTAAATTGAGATTCAAGTTAATGATTGATTGATCTTTTTTATTTGTTCGTTTTGAACAACAACATTAACTTTGACTGTTCTGACGCAAAATAAATAAATAAATAAATAAATAAATAAAAACATATACAAAAGACGCGTCAGTGCATATGCCTGGTTGGGCGCGAATGTGCACATTTGCAAAAGATGCGCTAGCGAGTGCGTGTATTGCACGCGCACAAAGTGAGAACTCTTCTGCCATCTCTCTTTTATTTGGGATCCACAAAAAACTTAACTTTGCAGGAGTACAAATCAATCAAAAAATTATTGCCCACATCAACAAACAACCATTTTTAAGTTTTTAATCTGACAAAAATTATCAAAAAATCATTAGTGTGGTTGCTCTTAGACCATCTGTACTCGTAAAATATTTGGACTGTGGCATTTTATTTTTGCTTTTTATTGTCTTTTTCTAAATGCCACATGGCTTCTTATGCAATTATGATAACATCATAATTACATTTCTTGCAATTGATTGTCACACTTGCATAAGAACATCCTCATTAGTATGAGATTTTTTTTCTTGTTTTTTCAGATACATGTAAGATGGAATGAAGAAAAAAAAAAATCCAAAAACTGACCCAAAAAAATAGAAAAGCATTATATCGCGTCCCCTGCTGGGCGCATCTGTCCCTCACACGCGACTTTGCCAAATATGCTTTGTTTTCTTCTCCCATCCAGTAGACCCCACAAAAGTGTTGATTTTGCATGAGAAAAAATCACCAAAAAAAAAAAAAAAAAAAAAAAAAAACGTCATCTCCCATTTTGTGTAAAAATAACATAGTTGGTTTTTCTACTTAAAAAACTGTGAAAAAACCATAAATGTAAATTCTCTAAGGCCAAATGGGCCCATTTCCTTGTTAAAATATATTAATTAATAGATAAAGAATTTTTTATTGATAAAATAATATACGTAGTAATTCTTTAGGTGATGTGAAAGTGAAACCGCTTGTGAAAAAAAGAGATAGAGAATTGCATGGGTGAAGAGTGAATAATTGTAAATTTAATGATATGACATTTTGAATGTGAGAGAAAATTACAAGGGTGTGGATAGCCTTAGAGCTATCCATTTGAATTTTCTTTATTTTTTTTTATTTTTTGATTTGGAAGAAAGGCAAGAGGTGTGAGAATCCTTCTTGTGATTTTGTTGTGTTTAGGGCACAAAAGTCTCCCTATACTTGCATTTTATGTGGGCAAATTATACTGTGCATCCGTGTACATCATGCATGGTGCACACGGATGTAAAAACGACGTCGTTTTACTTTTAAAAAAAAAATCATTTTTGATTGTCGTTAGTTACGTAAACATATGTTCATAATTTTATAATTTCACATTCTGAATGTATAGTTATGAAGTTATGGATGTGTAGTTATGCAATTTTAGATGTATAGTTATGAAGTTATGGATGTGTAGTTATGCATGTAATTCTGAATGTATAGTTATGAAGTTATAATTTCACATTCTGAATGTATAGTTATGAAATTATGGATGTGTAGTTATGCAATTCTGAATGTATAGTTATGAAATTATGGATGTGTAGTTATGCAATTCTGGATGTATAGTTATGAAGTTATGCATGCAATTCTGAATGTATAGTTATGAAGTTATGGATGTGTAGTTATGCATGCAATTCTGAATGTATAGTTATGAAATTATGGATGTGTAGTTATGCAATTCTGAACGTATAGTTATGAAGTTATGGATGTGTAGTTATACAATTCTGAATGTATAGTTATGCAGTTATGGATGTGTAGTTATGCAATTCTGAATGTATAGTTATGAAGTTAATGGATGTGTAGTTATGCAATTCTGAATGTATAGTTATGAAGTTATGGATGTGTAGTTATACAATTCTGAATGTATAATTATGAAGTTATGGATGTATAGTTCAAATTATGCACAACATAACGCCGTTAACGGCAATCGAAATTGATTTTTTTTTTTTAAGTTGAACGTCAAAACGACGCCGTTTTTGCAATCGTGTGCACCATGCATGGTGCACACGGTTGCACAGCATAACGACTCTTTTATGTGCTAATGGGGTGCGCTGAGTGTCCAAAACTAGACTTATAAAAATTATAATCTTGCTCTTAAAGTATCACCAATAGTGATTTTTGCTCACTTTTAAAAGATTTTTGTCCGTTGTTGGTGACTACCCTAGTCCTTTAGTTTTATTTTTTTGTTGTGGAATCAAATTGAATCTCAACAAACATTTTTTTTATTGGAATGCTCTTTTCTAATTATATAGAAATTTTAAAATCTTATAATTAAGAAAAATTAATTAAGAACAAGTTCCTTGTATATGGAAATCTAAGATCGTCTCCGTTCATGGCAATTTGGGATGAGGACGTCATCTTCCATGGTGTGATTGTTTGTTGTGAACAATCATGATTGTTTAGATTTAGATAAATAATTGTAAATGTTTATTGTGACAACAACATGTCTTTAAATAATCGTGGTTGTCCATTATGGATAGCCATGGTTATCCTTGGACAACAACATCATGGTTTTTTTTTTTTTTTTTTTCCTAAGTAAAAAGAAAATGTAAAAACAAAAACAAAATAGTATACGTGTTAACTTATGGCTTATGATGGTGATGTTTTATAGAAGTGAACAATTAGCATGCTTTGTTGCATGGTAATCAATAAAAAGAATGATTTTATTGAAATATTTAGTAAACAATGTAGGCAAACTTATAAAGTATGGAGAGACACATATATAATGAAATGATTTTTTTTTTTTAATTATACTTTTAGAGCAGAAGGGTCGAATAGTCACATCTATTTTCAATGACGATTCAATTCATATCTTGGATTAAAAAAAGATTTAATTGGATACATTTATTTTTAAAATTTTGTTTACTTAGTCTTTTCTCCAGGTAACTCTTCCACAATGTTGACATGAAATTTAAATAAAAATAATTTTGTTTACTTGTTAATTTATCACCATGTTGACCTTTAAACTCATTTAAACCTAGAGAGAAAAAAAAAAACAAATTCTCTCTCTTCAAACTCTTCGTATTGTTATGGTGTTATAGTGTCATTGCCTTTCTTCCCGCAGTCGCAAATAGTGAATGACCAACTTGAAACTCCCGGTGGTTAATAATTTTTCCGCTGTGAATGACTCCACTGATTTTGATGAAGCCAACGTTCATACGGTAATCAAGCAGCTCCTCCAAAAGTAACCAACAAGATAAAGAGTAGTGTAACCTTTCCGAAATATCTGGTAATCCGTTTGAGTGTAAAACTAAGTATTTGATTTACTAAAATCAGATATTAAAAAAAAGAGTTAAATTATTATTAACATCATTCATGTTAAGTTTGTCACATGGAGTCTTCAATGTAATTTACTTTTTTATGTGATTTTGTGAAAATTACTCTACCCATCCTTAGGTAAAAATAAATAAATAAATCCATATATGATAACTTTAGAAGAAAATGTTGACTGGGATTCTTTTATATATACTTCGTTTTACTAATTTTTACAAATTTGACAAGCGCAGGTAAGATAGACTGATAGAGAGTTGGGGAGAAGGTCAAAGTGCGATGGTCAGAGCGCTGCCGGATCTTATCGCCGGCGTTGTATCGCTGTCTCCGGCGAACTGGTGGGACGAGATCAATGAATCAGTTGAATGGCAAGATGGAATCTTCTATTCACTCTGCGGTGCCTTTGCACTCGTCTCCGCCGTTGCCCTTGTACGTATACACACCTCCGATATTCTGCTATATACTACTCCGTATGTATCTAAATTTATTTGGTTTGATGTGGAAACAACAATAATTTCCCCATGTTTGGAGCTTGAAGACCGTGAAGTATTAACTTCCTGGAGATGTTAGAGCTAGCCGTGGTCTGTTAGGAGTGTTTAAGAAGTTAGGGAATTGAAATAATGACAATCTACAAGTTATTTGAAGCCTGTATTTGAATATTGTTGGGTATTTGAGCTTTAGAGTTGAGTTGAATTGAAAAATCAGGTTATAAACTTATAATCATTACTGGTTATGGTGCTGAAAGCCTGAAATTATTAGGCTATTAGCTACTCTGGGATTGTTGGCAAAAAAAATTGGATTATTGGACCTTGTTGACCAATTTCCTATGTTCTTGCATTTGAATGCTGAAGTTCTAAGGGATGTAATGATGACTTGAGTTTCTCTTATCCTATTTTTAGAGGCTTTTTGTGAAAGGGAACAGTCAATGGTACTTTAACCTTGCTGCTAATTTGAGTAATTTCTTAAGATAACTTTGTAATGGCTTTCAAGTGGTTATGTTTTATATTTTTGTTAGTATTATATTGACATAGAGTAACATTTTTGTTTGGTAACATCATCTTATCACTTGCTATGGTGTCAGCACATGTTAATAATACCGTAATTGGGTTTGATAAGTTACCAATCAATCAAGAAATGTAATAGGGAGCAACTATTTCAATATCCTTTTTGCAAAACCAACAAAATGATAAGCCACCACTAAAAGCTTGAAAGTAGAGGTTTCTCCTCCTTAGTCATTAACACTAATCAGCACTACTTTAGAAATTTGATAATTATCTTTCCCTTCAATTCCTTAAATCCCTTTCATGCACTCTAATTTTGCTATCCCACTCATGGCAAACCAAATCTTAACAACCCCATAGTTACGCGAGTAGTCTAATGTTCTGTAGTTCTAGAATCTCAAATACATGCACCAATCATCTGGATATTCTTCTATTAAGCACATATTGCATTGCCTTCATGGTTGATCAAACAAATTTAAGCTATAGTATGAGAAATAGAACACGGACTTAATTAAACCATAATCCGTAATCTGAATGTAGTTGGGGACTTGGGGTAAGCTATATGGACTCTATTTCTCCATTCAGCTCTCTTTACAACTAATTCATTCCTAACCCATTGCACTAACATGTCTTTCTTAATACCTATTCAAGCAAGTTTTGATCTAAATTGTGGTCATGTACTCATGTTAGAACTGGGGTATTCATACTGGTCCCCTGTTATAACTCCTAACTGCAGATAGAAGTACGATTAGACTAGAGCTTTTCTCATTATAATAAGCTATTAATTCATGAAAAGAGACTGCCTTTGAATAGTCTATTAATGCATAAGTTATTGCAGTGTTTGACTTACAATCCCATTCATTGTGTTTAAGTTCTTGGTTTTAGTTTCCTATGAAATCTTACACAGTATTTACTTATGTATTTAGTCTTCCTGACTGAAGATTTGAGTTGACTGTGCAGATTCAATTGATAAGAATTGAACTGAGAGTGCCAGAGTTTGGCTGGACAACACAAAAGGTCTTTCATCTTATGAATTTCATTGTAAATGGAGGTAAAAAAAAAAGAGCAATAACTTTATCTGAGTCATCTGACACCTTTGTTTCTATAGCTTACTTCTATTGCGGTTCTCCTTTGTTTCAGTTCGTGCTATTGTCTTTGGATTTCACAAACAAGTGTTTCTTTTCCATCCCAAGGTATATCAATACCCCTACCCCCTAAAATAGTTAAAGTTTTAATGGCCATTGTTAGTAGGCTTCTATTTGTTACTAAGTGATTAGACATTTAGAATAATTCCGTTCCTGCAATAATCTTATTTCTTCATATTTGTAAATTATGAAAAACTGGCAAAGAAATATCCAGGTACTTTTTCTTAACTGTAAAAATAATAAAATAAATTAGTTTCTCAAATAAGATATCCTTTGCGGTAATTTTATACTCTTGAAGTATATGCCAACGTTTGCTTTTCTTCTTTTGTGATAAGGGAAAGAATCTTACATTGATGGGGTGATCTTTTCTGAAGACTGGTTCATTAGAATTGTTCAATGGCCTAAATGACAAAGCTTAGTTTGTTGCTGCCATTTCCTTCATAACTTTTTGCTGATGTTGGCTTCTGCTATTTCAATAGGTGCTTACTTTGGTAATGTTGGACCTCCCTGGGTTGCTTTTTTTCTCAACTTATACACTTCTTGCCCTATTCTGGGCAGAAATATATCGCCAGGCAAGTGAAGTCATTGATCTATGGAGTCTCTTGCAAATACACTTTCATTGTTTTTAGTATAGGTCAGTCATGCTAACTCTTCACCCTTACGAATGGGCAGGCTAGAAGTTTGCCAACTGATAAGCTCAGATTGTTTTATATTTCAATCAATGCTGGAATATACATCATACAGGGTGGTATATGGGTGTACCTTTGGATTAATGACAATAGTGCCATTGAGTTTATTGGAAAGATATTTATCGCGGGTAACTTTTATGTCCGTCTTCAGTTTTCCAACTCAATTAACTCAACGCTGGACACTTCATTTTCAAAAAAAGTGTAGGATATGGTGATTGTTACCTTTTCCAGCTTGGCCAGAATTCTTATTTTCTTTTTACTGTGTGCAGTTGTTTCATTCATAGCAGCGTTGGGTTTCTTACTTTATGGAGGAAGGTAAATGACCGTATCAGTTTCCATTGTCAGAATTGCTTTTGCTCAGTATCCTTAATTTATTGGCTTTGAATATAAGTCATTTGCTCATCTATAATTTGTTCTGTGTGTTCATTTTATGCTGACATCAGGCTGTTTTTCATGCTGAGACGCTTTCCTATTGAATCCAAAGGGAGAAGAAAGAAGCTTCACGAGGTTTGTGCATAGTTGCATTTGCCTTCTGGCTACTTTGTGAATTTTTTAATTTGAGGTTATTGTAAATGTATGTTTATGCAAATTAGAACGTTTTTAACCCGCAACCACTACCCGAGGTTGTACATTGGGTAAACCCTGCCTTCTGACCTTAGCCGACAACGGACCACAAGGAGGTAAATTAGCCTAGGTTGCCCATAGCTAACCGGCTCAAACCAAGAAGGCCAATAGGCCGCTCCCACTGGGAGTCGAACGTGGAACCTTGTGGTTAACAAGCCAACAACCTAACCAACTTGGTTCAGGTTGCCCCCAATTAGGACGTATTTCATTACTTTCAAACTTGAGACAGCTTGTTACTCATTTCTAGAGATTTAGGAATTACGATGAAATTAAGCATCCGGATAGGCTGAAGAAGAAAAGTTGAATGAGAAAGAGAGTTTAATCTGCAATACATCTTCACATATGCCATCTCCTTTCTTCTTCCTCCCCATTTTCCATCCCATGTTTACCTCGTCTTTTCTTTCTGGCTCTGTTTTATGGATCTTTGGGTTTTGGAACAAGGGGAACATTAGTACATTACACAACGTGATCTAGCTCGCTGAACTGAACTGTTTCACCTTGTGACTCGATTTATTTAAATTATTACAGGTTGGATCCGTGACAGCCATATGTTTCACCTGTTTCGTCATAAGATGTTTTGTGGTAATATTTCAATTTATCTTTTGCACTGCTATTCCTCTAGATATGTGGTTTAACTTACGGAATCCCAGCTTTAGACATGTCCTACTTCCGGTTCTCATGTCTCTGCAGGTTGTGCTGTCTGCTTTCGATTCTGATGCAACACTCGATGTATTGGACCATCCAGTTCTGAATCTGATATATTACGTGGTACGTGGTGGATTCATGTTCCATATTTTAATCTCGAATTGCTTTTGCCTCTTGTTTCTCACCATACTCGTTCCTTCATGACTACACACAGCTAGTGGAGATTCTTCCTTCGGCTCTCGTTCTCTACATCCTGCGTAAACTGCCCCCGAAACGAGTATCTGCACAGTACCACCCCATCTGTTAGCTGCATTTTTACGGTCCTCAGAGGGAAGTATTATTTGTTTTCCCATGGTTGTGGCGTTTGAAGTTAGATCAGGAACGAGAACCCCGGTGGGAGCTTGTTTTTCTCGAACATGTGAAGCTTAAGCTACTATTAACGCGTATTTTTCTCGTTTCTCTGTGGCGTGGAATATGAGCTGCGTGTGTGTGTGTTAGCATTTTGGAATTTCAGTTGTTCATCAAGATTCAAGCTAATGCCCGTAGAATCATTGCTGTAATGTTCATATAGGATGGTGTGGGCTTTCTTTTGCCTCTTGTAGTTGTACACTCTCAGTGTAACTTGATGAACTTGGCTGCCTGCTGAAAGACTGACTTTGCAATTGTTCATGTTTCTCCCAAGTGCAAAAACTCATTCTGTCATCATCTCATATATGTGCTAAAAAAGGTGTCGTGCCAAGTACGTTGTGACTTTTTTTTTTTTGAAAGTAAAGTACGTTGTGACTTGATGACATTACAGTTGTTTTTTATAATGAAAGTGTTGTAAATCAGGATATAAATGGCAAGACTATACAATAGGCCTGGGCCTCTCTAATCCGTCATGCAGCCGTCTGTGAAAAAGTCTTGTCATTCATGAAGTTAAGCAAGAGGTTGGAGTTATTATATTTACAAAAATGTCATTATATTTTTATTGAATGTTTTTAATTCTATACTTTCTCAATCTACTAAAAAAACACATAGAGTTAATAACGGTTCCACTGAGGCTCGAACTCACAATCTTCCAAATGGAAGTCCAACTTGGATACCATTGGACCATATAGTCCTGGTCATTACATTTTTATTTAAAATAGACTTGTATAGAAACAATGTCATCATTTTTATTAAAATTGATATGAGCTTATATACAAATAATGCCCTTTTAGTCAAAGAGACACATGTTTATTTTAAAACGATGGAGTAACCCGTCATTAATTTTTGGAGAGTTTTTTTTGTGGGGTCATAGCTAAGTTGGAAGGGAGAAAAATAGGAGGGAGAACTGGAGAAGTGATGAGGTCAGGAGAAGAAGAAGAAGAAAAAAAAAAAAAAAAATCCTTTGCTTGGTGCGGGTTTGGACCCCCGTTAATTTTGTTTTGTTTGTTTTTTTTTTTTTTTGTTTTTTTTGTTTTATTTTTGTTTTTGTTTTTTTAGACTTCTCTTTCTTTTCTCTTCTCCTTCCTATTTATCTCCCTTCCAGCTCAGTCATGACCCACAAAAAATCTTTGCTTGGTGCGAGTTTGGTTCACCAGGTGCCCCTGGTTAATTTTTTGTTTTTGTTTTATTATTATTTTTCCTTTAATTTCTACATACACTTTTTCTTCCATTCTCACTCTTACTTTGTCGGAAAATTTTGAGCAAAAAAACTCCACTATTGGGATTGTTCGTTTTGTTGGTTGTTGGTAATAATTAATATAAAAATTCAAATGTTTATACGCAATAAAGATATGTGAAAGTAATATAGAAATTTATATTGTATATATATATGTGTGTGTGTGTGTGTATATATATATATATATATATATATATATATATATATATATATATTTCAAAAAGTGTGGAATAAAATACAAATGAATAGCAATGAATTTATTCAAAAAGTGTGAGGAATTAATTTTTCATCAAAATAAAATTTTCATCAATCAAAATAAGTAAAATATGTAATTTTCAAGAAAAAAAATGCTTCTACAACCAGTTCAATCTAGATAAATATTTTCATGTAAACCATATATATCATATATTGATATACTTTTTCCACAATAAAATATTTTTTCACGTAAACTCAACTATATAATATAAATATATACACACACAAATTAATTTGGTTAAGTAACACTTTCAAACAGGAATTAATTAATTAAATTATATTGATTCGATCACTTATCCGATTTTTCACTCAATTTTGAACATCCTATGCCCTATCAACGGCTCTAATGATATAATTACATAGTTTTAGTGGGTCAACTGTTTAAATTACAAAGTATAAGGGTTAAAAAGAAAAGAGAAGAGGATCCGAGGACATTTTGAAATTATAGACTCACTTTACTATACTACAGTAAAAAAACCGCCAAAATCCGGATTCAAATTTGAACCGGATCTCCGCCGTTCATCATTCCCATTTTCGGACATCGATTCCCAAAAATCTCTCTCCGAAATCGCAGATTCACATGCGGAAATGGACGGAAAGAGGCAATCGCAAAATCTGTTCCCTCCGTCGCCGTCGCCGTCGTCTTCGGCATCTTCACTTCTGAGGGAAGCTTCGGCTTTCAAAACCCCAAGACCGCCATTACGGAGCTTCAACTTCCAGTCTTCTCCTCAGTTCTTCACGGCCTCGAAAGCCACCCCCGCGTCCTCCGCTCGCGGGCGCCGCGTGCTGAAGAGCTCAGCCGCGAAGAGTAAAGCGGCGCGGAAGCTGAAGGCCTTCGAGCTCGAACAGTCGAAGTCAGCTCGGAAGGCTTTGACCAGCAAGGAGAAGTCCGTGAAGTCGTTGGGGAAGTCGCTGGCCGTTTGGCTGAATTTCCTGTTTGAGAATCCTAGGTCTTGCGGCTGTGATGTGTCGAGGTTCACCGGAGGGTTTGAGCGTTCTGGTGATGGTGAGGTCGGGGTTGTGGTTAGTGGGAAGAGGGAGAGCAGCTCGGGATGTAGGGTTGGTGTTGGTGAACCGTGGAGGGATCCGAAGAGGCCGAGGAACGTGTCCTGGAGGGGTACGGGGAATGAAGAAACAGGAGCGTTTCCGGATTCGATGTTCTCGGGGTTGAAAGCTTCGTTGCTTGACGTTTGCAGCTTTGATGATTTGAAGGAAAGAATGAGGAATTACTTGAGCTCGAGAAGCTGTAAGGAGATATTCACTACCATGACTCAAGTAGCAAAGGTTTGCCATTTTTTTTATTTTAATTTTTTTTTCCTGTTAATTGCGTAAGGATGATATCCTAAGTTATAATTTAGCATCAATTAGTGAACTTCAATGACTAATTTTGCAATCGCCTATTGCTTTCCATGCACGTTCTGTGAGTCGTTGATTAATATGTGGTGAATGTCTGAGGCTCTGAGCTGAACTTAGAGTAGGTTAGTTACTTGTAGAAGAATGATTTCCGGGAAATTAACTGACATGGTAATCTGTCTCATTAGAGTGGTGCATTCCTGCTAAATTTTGTCTAAGACACATGAGTAAGTTCATATTGTTCATATAGTGAGTTAGAATTGCAATCAGTTGTGTTATTCTTGAGATTGAATATAAATCATTAGCTTTTTATGTCTGAATGTGCCAATGTTTCAGAATATTGATGAAGGGCGATTGAAAATGAGAGTGCATTGTCCCATGGTTACTGATGTTGGAATGAAGGAGAAAGCACTGAAAACTCTCATGTGTTATAATCCCATTTGGCTTCGGATTGGATTGTACATAATTTTAGGTGGTGACTCCTTGTTGCCAAATGGAGATGTCAATTCTGAGCAGGAAATTGCATTCTTGAAGATGGTGATCGAGAAACAGTTTTTCTCACATGTTGGTTTAGCAAAAACATATGCTTATAACAAGTTGGTTGAGGGTTTATTCAGGCCTGGTTACTATGAGAAGTTGGGGAATGTCATCTTAAAAAGATTTTTGTTGCTTGTTCTTGTACTTGATAGAGCTAAATGTCAAAGCAGTCTTCCTTGTAAATATGGTATTGATGGATTAGATGGGGGATCCCCTCTGCTATTCTCTTTGCAATCGCATGTTAAATCTAGCAATCAACTGATCAATGGTAATTTCTGAATTGGTCTTTATACTTTGTATTCTTCTTTTGCAGTTTGTTTCCAATAATATTTATTGATTTTTATTTCTGGAAAAAATTAGAGTTCTTATCTTCGGATGTGATGCATGGCGAGGGTAACCTTCTTGCACATCTAGTCATAATTGGATTTAAAGCAAATTATCAACAGGTAAGCCACTTCCGTATGCTGCTGAGTTGGTTGGTCTTATATTATGGGTTTTTAGTATTATATCAGTTTGGAAAATGTATTGGTTGAGACGTGGGAATTGTTTTCTGATCAGATTGGGGATATACTTTTCTAATGGTGCAGAATCCTTTGGTTGAGTATCAATTTAAGGTGGATGATATATTTGAAGATCTTCAAGATGGTGTACGACTTTGCAGAGCTGTTCAGCTCTTGCAGCATGATCCATCTATCTTAATGGTCAGCTTAATTTTGTACATTCTGTTCCCTTCGCTTTCGTTCTTGCTTTTAAAATTTCAGTTTTGTTGTCATTGATATGACCAACAATCATTATGGCTTTGGCAATTGAAACTTTTGTTGGTAGTGCATTGCTCATTCTTGATTTCTTGGTTTCTGATCAGAAAATGGTGGTTCCATCAGACACCCGCAAAAAGTGTTTGATTAACTGTGGTGCAGTGCTGCAATATGTGAAGCAGGCTGGTGTACCATTACTAGATGAAGATGGAACTACTATTATGGCAGAAGATGTTGTTAATGGAGATAAGGAGCTCATCCTTTCCCTGCTATGGAACATGTTTGTGCACTTGCAGGTGTTTTGTTTTGTTTTTTGTCTTAATGTTTTCATAATCTTTTAAATAATGAATTTATTACCACCTGGAATGGAATTTACTGTAGTTTTACCATATCTTTTACCAACTCTGTCATCTAATGTGCAGTTGCCACTTCTAATCAACAAGACACTCATGGCTGAGGAAATTTGTAAAATACAAGGAGTTCCATGGGTAGGTGTTAGTTGGATTTTTTTTTTCAAAGTAATAAATTTGCAATATTTGTTCATGTCAAATTGTTTCAGATTTTACAAGATGTTACTTATGTACATACATGCATGTATGTATATCATATTGATTCCCTGTTGCTTTGTAGAAATACTCAAAGGGTCACACTCACTTGGATATGCTTCTGGGATGGATCCAGGTAACATTGATAGCAAATCTAATCTGCAGTTATGCTTTTCTTAATCTATCAATCTTGTTATTTTCACAGCCTGTTTAGTGTGTGCTAGTTTTCTTTTCATTTTTAATATATTTACTTTAAAAATCATATTTTTGTATGCTACTTTCAAGATGTATGTCAAAGCTGTTAAGCACAAAAGAAATTCAACTTTTGCACAATGAGTATATTTCATTCTCTTCACTTTTCCGAATATTCAGAGCAAGTTTATCTCATGCTTTCTCCAAGGAAATTGGTTTGAGTCTTTGAGAAAGCATTAAGTTACTCCTTCATTATTCAAGGAAAAAAAAGCTTTTTAAAGTATTAATTACAAAAGTGAGCTGAGAAAATTTTGATGAAGAATAATTGGATAGTGATAGGGGTTCTCATGGCTGTTCATTGTCTGATCTCTAGTGTTAGAAATGGATTATGTGGTTTTTTATGGACCGGTTTCTTTACTACATGTTTCATTACTTCTTTGTATTAGTTCTTCTTTGATCCCATTTTGTCTATAAATACATTTTGTATTGAACCATACATGTGTGTTTCTCTTGCTATCAAATGGCAAATGCATACCCAAACTTGCTGCTACCATAAAATATCTGCATTGGAGTTGCAGCATGTAGCCTAATTCTTGATTTCTTTCAACCACACATGAACTAAGGTTGTAGAGAATAAGAAGTTGAATGTCTTGCATTGGTGCATATGCTTTCTTATTGATTCATGTACTTGTACATTCTAAACTTTACAAATCTGATTGTTTTAGGCAATTTGCGAGAGTTATGATCTTAAGGTTGAGACTTTTTCTTCGTTGGTTGATGGAAAAGCTATGTGGTGCTTGCTTGATTTTTACTTCAGGAAGGAACTTCACTGTTCTTGTTCATTTAAGGTTTTGCAGTCTCTTTCCTTTGTTATATTACTTTCTATTGCTATTGTGATGCATGTTATTCATCCTGCCTTATAATATTACAGGGATTTGATCAAACAGAAGAAGTTTCCATAGTATCTGCAATTGATTATACAGATGCAGTACACAATTTCATCTTATCCCAAAAGCTGCCATCCTTGTTGGGAAAGTTTCCAGAGGTAAGAATGTATTAGAACAATTTAGCTAGTATAAATCATGGCCTTATAAACCCATATGTTATCTCTTATTTTATCAATGTGGGGCTCTTAACAGTGACCATTATACTGCTTGTGTCTTCTTTGTTTCAGTTGCAATTGTAATTGGCACTTGGTTATCAGCATTATCCTTTTTTCCTAAGCTTGTGCATATAAGCATATATGATGCAGGTTTTACAAGTCAGTGACATACTGGAAAGTAATGGTGCTTGCAATGATCGCAGTGTGGTTATACTGTTGGTGTTCCTGTCATTTCAACTGCTTGTTAAAAGAAACACGGTAGTGTTCATAATACTTTCTTTATTAGATAATGTTTAGAATATGTTAGTCCAAATTTTAGAAAATCACTTCAATGTTATTTTCTTATTCACTTTTTGCCAGGACCATTTGAACTTTCATAAATTGTTGGGTTTTAATTGTCAAAGTCCTGAAAGGAGACGGTTAAGCAAAGATCAATGGTTTATGAATTCTGAAGCAGACCTGAAGCAAGAAGAAAGAATTCACTCTTCTGAAGGTTCATGTTTGTTTACATTTCTGGTCATTCATGTTAGCCATGACAATTTGTTTGCTTGGCATATTGTGCATGAGACTGAAAAAAACATTGTTTCCATGAACATTATATTTTATGGTTCTTTTTCACTTTTTGAGCAGAAAGCTTCAGATTTTCAAATAGCAATATCATTTTCCTACTTCTACCCTGTCAATATTCTCTCTAAATCAACATCTTTCATTTCTAATTTCTGAACTTCTTTTAACCTTGCCTTTGATAAAAGATGCTACAAGAAATTTCAAGGCAATAATGTCCTGGTGGCAAGAGATGGCTCAACGAAATAATAAATGCGGTCTGGAGCAAGTAAATCTGACACAAGAAGAGTTTTTGACTTGTAAAGGAGTTGGAGGCCCTGAAAGAGGTATGTCTCTTTTAATGTTTGTTGTTTATTTTGAAAATATATCCTTTCAACTTATTCTCAATCATGTGATTGGGAGTATTGTTGTATTGAAGCCATAAAATCCCTGTCCACTTGTTCGTTGATAGAATATGTAAAGTGAATCTAATGATATAAAGGAACAATAGAAGATGGACAAGTCTGAAGTATGCTTCTACTTCTAATGTCTAATTGCTTCAGAATATTGTGGACTTTCATTATTCTCTTATCATCTTGCATGATTTATATGTTTGAAATTAGTCACTTTTTCGTGGACTATTATCTGAAAGATATTTTTGTTATTGATTCAGAAAATGCTGCAAAAATAATTCAGTCTCATTTCAGACGGTCAGTTGAACAACGTAGATATATGAGGATCAAGTACACTGCCTCTTACTTGCAAGCTGTAATACGAGCTTGGTTGACGAGGAAGAAATCATTAATCGAGATGCCCAATCAAAGGGAAGCTCAGGGATCTTTGAATTGTATGTGCTATTGTATTTTATGTGTCTCTTATCTTGTAATTCATATTGATTGTTTCTCTAATAGTCTAATCTTATCAGTTGAGTCGGAGAATGGGAAGAATCATTTGGCAAATTTCGGCAAATATGCAGACCTTGAGGTTGATGGCCAAGATATTATGAAGTTGAAAAAATCTGTAGAAACCCAACATCTGGGTGGAAGTAAAGCAATTCAAGATTTGTCTACATCTCATCTTATCAATGCTGCCATTGTCACTCAGAAGTACATCCGCGGAAGGATAGCTCGGTCTATGTTTGCAAACATGGTTGCTCAGGTAGATAAATCTTTAGAATTGTCCAAAGAAAATGAGGCAAAGGATTGTCGAATGAAAGCAGCATTATCCATACAGCGTTCTTGGAAAGCATACAGAAACCGAAAGTTGTTTCTTCAGACTAGGCACTCTGCAGCAATTCAAATTCAAAGTCACTATCGTGGTTGGTTGATGAGGAAGGTGTTCATTAATCAGAAGCAAACAATAATACAAGTCCAGAGTATCTTCCGTTCCATGAGATGTATGAGGGATTTTAAGCGTTACAGATGTGAAGTTATGTCAGCGATAACTGTTCAGGCATATGTTCGTCAATGGATTGCTTGCAGAGATTTTAATAGGTGTAGATGTCTTATTATTAAGATTCAGGTAACTATTGACCCTATATCAGCTGCATATGCAGCATGGTAGACACAATTCTCTATCATCCTTGACTATTAGGATTTAGGAACAGCCAAAAAAAAGATTTCAGGTTTGCATTTTTCAGACTCTTTTATCTATTAAGAGGATTACAATATGGTGCATCATTTTCTTTTAAAAAATTTATTAATTCTAAGTAGCTACTCTCCAAGTGTAGTTAATCTTATTATAGATTTGTACTATAGTACATTATGAGAATGTCCTCATGTATACATGTATAATTGAAGCCATTTTCATACTGTAATTTGGTGGCAATACCTACAGATTATGCCTCACATGTTCGATTAGGTACATAGATGCTGATGCTATGAAAACCTACCTTCTCTAGGCAAGTTGTGTGCTTGAATGAAGTACATTGCTCAAAGAATTTGACTTTCAATGTTGTATATTATTCATCCAGAGTCATTGCCGTGGGTGGATAAGAAGGAAAGAATTTTCACTACAGAAGGCAGCGGCTGTCAGAATTCAAAGCGCAGTCCGTTGCATGATATATTGGAAGGCATTCCTTTCCCAAAAGCATGCTGCTACTGAAATGCAACGGCTTGTCAGAGGAGAGATCGCTAGAAAGAGGCTTCTAGGTAGTTTCTGGTTCTCTTGATATAGAAAGGCTTGCCTTCCCAGTTAAATTTTTAGCATTACTGTAACTAACATTTTTACTTGTTGCATTGCAGGTTCATCATGCTATTGCAGGACTTCAAATAGCAGTTCGAAAACCTCTGAGTTGAGAATATTTCTGCAATCAGTGGTAAAGATACAAAGGTGGTGGAGAGCTGTTTTGTTACATAGACAACAAAGTGAAAAATCAGCAGTTTTTATCCAATCACATTTTCGAGGATGGATTACCAGGAAGAGGGTTTCAAGGGAAAGACACGGGGAAAAATCAGCAGTTTTTATCCAATCACATTTTCGAGGTTGGATTGCAAGGAAGAGGTCAAGGGAAATACACATGGAAAAATCAGCAGTTGTTATCCAATCATATTTTCGAGGATGGATTGCCAGGAAGAGGGTTTCAAGGCAAAGACACAGGGAAAAATCAGCAGTTTTTATCCAAGCACATTTTCGAGGATGGATTGCAAGGGAGAGGTCAAGGGAAATACACATGGAAAAATCAGCAGTTGTTATCCAATCATATTTTCGAGGATGGATTGCCAGGAAGAGGGTTTCAAGGGAAAGACACAGGATTGTTGTGATCCAAGTTAGTATGCCTCTTTATTGATATTCATTCCCAGGATAATGTTAATCGTTTGCCAACTGATATAGTTTACTGAAACAGTTCCTTTATAATCATCTATAAATGCTCTTCAGATTGCTGCTACCATGAATAAGATGAAAAATTCTAAACTCTTTCCACCAACTTGAAAATTATGTCATAGTAAAATTTCTCCAACTTTTCATCTTGCACATGTGGATGTTCACATTTTCTTTCTTGTTTTTGAATGCAGTCATATATGAAAGCTTACCTCGCGAGGAAAGACCTAAAAGGGCAGCTTCTTGATTTGCGTTTGAGACTGCAAAAATCTGCAGCAAATGTTAATGATGGTATGCGTCTAATTAACAGACTTCTTGCTGCATTATCAGAACTTCTGAATACAAAAAGTGTAAGTGGCATCCTCCACACTTGTGCAACTTTAGGTGAGTTTATATACTGTCAAGTAAATTGCTACTATGCTATGCTGGTTTCTTTAAATGTCTGTAAAGTTGTAATTTTTTTCTGTTGGCATTGCCTAGACATGGCCACACATTACTCACAGAAGTGTTGTGAAGAACTTGTTGCCGCGGGAGCCATTGATATTCTGCTAAAGCTGATCCGCTCTGTCAGCCGTAGCATTCCTGATCAGGAAGTCCTGAAGCATGCACTTTCGATCCTTAGAAACCTCACTCGACATCCGCATTTGACTGAAGTCCTCAGCAAATCTAGTGGATCTGTAGAAATTATTTTGTGGGAGTTATTAAGGTTTGTTAAAGTAACTTCTAATGATGTTTTTTTAATTCCTAATTATCAAAGGTTAGAATGTTTATGGTGTCTGAATTTTGGTCAGAAACAAAGAGGAGGGGTATTTCATTGCTGCTGAGGTTTTGAAGAAACTGTTTCTGCACCACAAAGGCATTGAAGCTGCCCACAAGTTACCTGCTCTTGTAAAGAGACTACACAATCATGTGGAAGAGCTCTCAAGGAAGGCAAAAAATGATAAAAGGTCTGATTTTCAAGTTTCAAAAACCTTTTCTTTATGATTTTTATTTTCAAGTTTCAAAAATTTTGATATAAATTTATTTTGCAAAATAATAAAATAAAATTGGCCAACGTTTTGTCATATTTTGATGAACATGACATGTCATTTTTAATATCTCCTTTAACATGTTATTTTAGACACCACGAAATAAAACACCGATCAAGAAACAAATCTTTCTTTCTTTTTATTATTATTATTTTTACGATAAGTTAAGATGGTGGACATTAGAAGTTGGAAAAACATGTGCAGGACTACTCAAGGTGTTGCAATGAGAGAACAGGTTGAGAGAAGATTAAGAGAGGCTGTAGAGCTCTTAGAGTTGATCAAAACATCCAACCAAATGAATGTTTTCTTTTAGCTTAGAGATGGAGTGTATTTGTGTATTATAATCTAAGATCATTTCCGATGCTAATTTTGCAGTTTGTTGGGGTTGGGTTGTTGTCCCCCCTGTGCAGCTGTGATATACATATACAGCTACCCTACATTGTATTATTATATTCACCAGTCACGTGAATGTAGTTGAAAGGTTGAGATTTTTTCTGAAAACAAGGTTGAGATTTTCAATCTTTAATTTTTATTGATTGATTTTGGTTCGGATTATTGCCTTTTTTGGACCGACCAATCCATTGGGGCAAGTGGGCAAGTGCCTCACTTTGATATGACTTGACATATTGCTGCCGCCTTTCTAATAATTTTATCAACTTGTCTGTATAAAGTTATGAATTTTCGCATGTTGTTGATGTTTATTTGATGAGATTTTTTGTTGGTTTTTAGGAAGTGAAGTAGGAGAGAGAAAATAAAACAAAAAAAAAAAGGAGGGTAAAAGTTGATTTTTATGTGTATAAAAATTGTTTCTTTATATGAGAAGTTATGAGTTTGAGTTTTAAGATTTAATATAGGGAAAATGGCACTTTTTCCCCCTGAATTATATACTTATAGCACGTTTTCCCCCTTAATTATTTATGTGGCTCTTTTTCCCTCTAAAATGTTAAATGGACATATTTACCCTTAAAATAAAGATTTAAAATAAATATTTCATTTATTTTTCTTCCCCAACAAATTATTATTATAATTTGGTTCAAACCAAGCAGATATTATAGGCAACCAAACCAAAATATTCCAATTACAATTTAGAATCAAAGTACGATATTTAGAGTTTATTAAAATCGCAAATCGAAATGGCCGGTTCATGTTCCGAACTGAAAAAATAAAATACATTTATTGTTGAATTTAGACTATTTTAAAATAAAAAATAAAATAAAATTTAAAATAAAGACGGTTCAAAATCACGAACCGGATCCGGAACCACCGGTTCACGGTTCATGATCCAGTTTTTTTGGTTCATAAATTTAATAAATTGAAATCTAAATATTGGATTCTAGATCTGAATCATAACCGAAAACTTTTAATTCGATTGCTATAGTGTCCAGTTCAGTTCGAACCAAACCGTGGTCATTGCTACATATACACAATAATTTGTTGAAGAAGTAAAATAAATAAAATGTTTACTTTAAGGGTAGAAATGTCAATTTAATATATCAAGGGGAAAAACCACCACTTTTAAAATAATTGAGGGGGCTAATGTGCTTACATAAATAATTGAGGGGAAAAAAGTGCTATAAGTATATAACTTAGGGGGAAAAAGTGTCATTTTCCCTTTAATATATGCTCTTTTATTTGCCTTTTCTCTCTTCTCGTGGGCCCTATTAAAAACCATCACTTACAAGAAAAAAAAACTCAATTTAACCATAGATTTTTTTCATATGCAAAAATCTTCTAAAAATTACTATTGAAGATGCTCTAATTAACCATAAATTGTTGAGGTTAACTTGACATTAAAAAATATATACGATCGAGTTTAAATATTTATTTGATTTATTTAAATTTAAAATTCAATTGATTTTTTTTTTTATATTCATGTAGTACTCAAGATTAACTACTCATTCTGTCTAATTTTGTATTTAATCCAGTTAACGAGACTTGATTGAATTTATTTTTAATTTAATTTTTCATAATATTAAATTTAATATTATTAGTATACAAAATTTATATATTTAGAAATTACACTTAAAATATTAGTAAACACAAAAAATAAGTAAAAAAATTAAAAAATTAATTTGATAAATAAATAATAAATATATTCTTAATTTAACAAAGTCACCAAACAAAAGCTATACATTGCTCTTAGGAGGAGCTTTAAAAAAAAAAAAAATGAAAACCAAATACAAAATAATCATATGATTCTTTGCCATTCAATAAACCATAATAAATTTGATGAGTCAAGCAGCACTTGCACCAAAACTCACCCTATCCAAAATCTCTGTAGGGTTAATGAGGAGGACTCCCCTCCTCCTCACAAAGGATCTCGGAACTGTCACAGTCAACACTCCGTCCCGGTACCCGGCGGAGATCCCGTCCACGTCAACCATTCCCGGCAGCCGGAACTTTCTCATGAAGCTTCTCGTCGCCGGCATTGATTCATCGTCGTTCCCCCCCTCAGTTCTTATTATCAGATACCTTGAATCTTCAACCTCCACCCTTATTTTCTCTTTCTCCACTCCTGCGCCAATAAAACTCATAATATAATCCACCAATTAAGCCACCCTTTAATTTGCTAATACACTAAAGAACAGTGAAATTAAAACAAAACCAAAATGGGATTCAGGAGAATTATTATTGGCATATATATAAGTGATTACTATACCTGGAAGATCAGCAGAGTAGATGTGAGATTCTGGGGTCTCTCTCCAATGAACATGGTTTTCAGGGAGGAAATGATGGGGAGAGAGGAGATGATAGTTGAAGAAAGAATGCCATGAAGATGGATCATGGAAGCCTGCAGGGAACTCCATCTTCTTCTTCTTGGTGATGAAAGATGGTGGGAAGAGATTTTAGTAATGGTTGGTTGAAGAAACAGATACTTTGCTCCCTTTTATAAGCCATGGTTAAAGGCATGTGGCTGCTAGTGGTCCAAGTTGCCTTCAGAATATAAAATTATGATGATTGGCTACCCAAGAGTAAAGATATTTTGGTCGGGGAAGTACATGAGTAAAGATATTTTGTTCGGGAAGTACATGTCCATTTGAAGCTCAAGTTGAATATATATATATACATGAATATAGATATTTTGTTTGGGAAAGTACAATGTCCATTTGAAGCTCAAGTTGAATATACATATTGAGAGAGGGGTTCATAATCATATGCGAACTGACCTTACCATGCGTACCCGCGAATTATTGAAGAATTGCACCGTATCGAATACGATTGCACGGCAAAGATTCTTAGTATAAACTTGTTCTAAACTCATAAACATGATTCATTGAGTCCTACCTTTCTACTTCCACTTTTTACTTTATTTTTAAAAAAAGAAATCACATTTTTGATTGTTTGATTATCCTTCAGTTATTCCTTGGGTTATTGGAAAAAAAAAATTAAGAATTGCATGTGAAATTCTAAAGAAAAAAAAAATCCCAAGCAAAATGAACAGAAGATCAATCTAAAGAGACCAAATTGACAACATTTAAAACAATTGAGAAGTTGAACCAAATTGACAATATTTAAAAATTAATAATAATACACTAAATTACATATCGAGTAACAATTAAAGAACTAAATATTATCAAGTTGCTAAATATTGTTTATGGGATATTACAGTGCCCAGAATAGTTTTATCTGTGCAGTTAGTGCCCAAAAAAAAAAAATCTTGATGTATATAGAAAGGAATATAAATCAGAAACAGGGCATTCTGCTTTCATTCCAGAATTTGAATTCAGACCTCATGCAGTTCACAGATATTTGATTATACCCATTACCCACATTCTTCAATCTGGTTTTTTCAAGTTCAAGCAATTATCTGATGCTTGGTTGAACAACTCTTGAACCTGCTTCAGCTCCTTTTCTGGTACAAATATTATCCAAAATATCAGTCAGAATAAGTAAAAATCATTCCACCAACCACCTCAGAGTTTGTAATACTAGATGATATGCAGTAAAAGTATGTGAATACCAAACAGTAGGACAACAAACTGAATTACAAAAAAAACAAAAAAAACACAGGGCTTAATTATAATTATGTTGATAAACTACATCAAAATAGATCCATAATGCAAAAATATAATATATACATAAGGCCCTCTAGAATGCCAAGTAGGAGTCATCAGTCTGTACCTGCAGCTTCGAGCTGCTTTTGAAGTTCTTGGCCTATTGCATCATTCTCAGCCTGCAAAGCACATATCCATAAGCATTGCTTTTTACATAAAGTCAACAAATTTCTTATGGGATAACAAAGAAGCTAAAATCCCATTAGGTGCTAATAAATGCCTTACTTTAAAAGTAGAATGCCTAGAGAGTAATGGTGTTTAGTTGATGTGAAAAAGTCATAGAGGATGGTAAGAAATGAGGTAAAGGGAACCTTCCCCCATTACGTAAAAGTGGAGAAGGTCATTACCCCTCTGTCAAATTTTGGTTTCTGTCCTATATTAAGCAGGAATAAGGCAGTATAACTGATGCAGGACGAATTTGAAGAGACGCATGGTTTTGCAGATACATGCATGAAAATGTTTTCTACAATTCCAAGTATTGATTTCTGGCTCTTTTCCCTAACAAGCACCTTATGGTCATTAATTTAGATGCATTTATTCTCAAGCACTTTTGAACTACCAGAACCTATTTATAGGGTCTTTGTCCGTTGTTCATGGGGGAGATGATATGAAATATTCAATGTTTTGAGTTATTCTATTTCTTTGAGAATTAAATATTCAATGTTTTGAGTTATTCTATTTCTTTGAGAATTTTCTCTTGTCACATGTTGACATTCCCGTTCCCTTATCCGACATCAATAACTCCACTTATAATAAGTAAAGGAGTGAATAACAAAGTATACTCTACTTGAAGAACATAAATTTTTAATCTGCCTCCTCCCTCATAGAAAAATACAATATGAAGATTTCATTGACCACATACCTGAAGTTCTGCAATTCTTTTCAATTGAGCTTCTTCACCCCCTTCAGATAATGGAAGTGCAGCAACCAATATATCAAACTGCATGTAAAACAACTTATGACTATGATTAACTTCTTAGACAGTGATTATTTTGAGTCCTTTTCCAACTATGTAAAAACATGATCAAATCAGTTCTGCCTGGTAAAATCTCCCAATGCAGTTAATATAATGCATAGAGGTTAACCAAAATAAAAAATGCTTGCTTTGAAAGTAATAGAACACATTACTTAACTTCTTTTCCTTTTCCCCAATTACACTACGTAATGAACTAGTTCATTGAAACTAAGATCTACCCAATGCGTTACCTAAACCCTAAACCTCAGCTACTCATTACATAACTTTTCCTCTAATTTTCTCAAAAGAGGGAATATTTGTAAACCGGTAAACACCAAATCATCATTTAATCGAACATCCAAAACGGTTTTTTACCTGTTTAGCAGCTTTGACAAGTTCAGCACCCATGAGCTTGGATTGCTCCACGGCATTAACCGTTGCAGCCGCCGCCGCCGCAGCCGCAGCCTCTTCCGCAGGCTTAGCGGCGGCGGGAGGTTCCGGATAATTAGGCGATAATCGAACCGGAGAAGCGTCCCTCTGAAGCGTTCCAAAGGTATTGAAAGCAAGAGCTGCGGTTGTGTTCACTTGTTCTTGTAACTGCGATATTATGTCCATCTTCAGGATTTTGAACCTGTAACGAGAAACATAAAATGGAAGAAAGAGTCGCTTTTGTTCTGGATTGCTCCTGAATTTGATTTTCGGGTCCAAATTAGGGCTAGGGATTTGGGAATAAATTGGGATCGTGTACGTTGGAAACTGAAGAAGAGTAAAATATACAGAGTAAATGGTAAAGGTTTTTCTAATGAGCCTTTGCTGTGATTAGTATTAAGACTCTTTGTATTTAACTCACTCCCTATCCTAGTCTCATTATGACTCACTATCCTAGTCTTAATTTCTTTATATATATATATATATATATATATATATATATAGTCTGTACCATTGTTAAATATCACATTTTCAATACAATTAATTCAGTTCTCATCCTACTATCCCGTGCGTATGGAGTAAATCATGTTTTGTTAATAGTTCTCAAAGAGCAAATACCAATTTTGGTCCCACGAGTATTAGCAAAATGACAGTTTTGGTTCACGTGTTTAATTCATATCAATTTTCATCCACGACTATTGTTTTAGTACCAATTTTCATCAACGACTATTGTTTTAGTGTCAAAATTCATCACGCCGATAATTCATTCGTTTAAGACATTCTGAAATCTACAAATTTTAAGTGTATTTTTGTCATTTTCAACTTAAGATCCCAATTTGAGCATGAATAATGAGATTTAAACTCTAAGATCGATCCCAATTCGCAGTTCTCCTCCTCATCTTACCTTAATTTGAGTAGGAGATTGTGAATTGAGATCAATTTTAGCGCTTAAATCCCTTTATTCATGCTCAAATTGGGACCTTAATTTGAAAAGGACGAAAATACCCTCAATAATTTCATTTTTTGGCATATTTAAACGGAGGGGTGACCGGTGTGATGAATTTTGACACTAAAACAATAGTTGTGGATGAAAATTGATACTAAAACCATAGTCATGGATGAAAATTGGTAGAAATTAAACATGTGGATCAAAAGTGTCATTTTGCTAATACTTGTGGGATCAAAATTAGTATTTGCTCTTCTCAAAAGGAAGAGAAAGCGTTTGTAACAATCGAACTTGTGACTTTTAAGTACGAGACTCATGTTCTTGTGTAATAGTTCTCAAAAGGAAGAGAGAACGTTTGTAATCGAACTTGTGACTTTTAAGTACGAGAATTCTTGTAAAACGTTTGTGCTTAGTAGGTTGAGAAAGTAGTTATGAACTGATAGTGCATTGTAACGGAGTCAGTAGTGATAGTGCATTGTAACAGAGTCAGTAGTACTCAACAAAACGAGAATTCTACTCACTCACTCCTCAACCATCCATTTCAGGGTTGGTCCTCATATATTTGCTATAGGTTATTTTGTCTTTCACCATAAAAAAAATTATAAAACATATCTTTATATTTGCAAGATTGTGATTGTTTCGATTCTCTAATGAATTTTAAAATGATTAATTCCTTCATAATTAATCATTTTATGCAAATTTGAGCTACAAAGGTTTAAAGCACTCATAAAAATACTAAATCTTTAAATCTACATTACATTCTTATTTGCTGAAGAACCAAAATCACCACACAAACGGAAAGGGACAATGTGAAATGTAGTTCTAAACACTGAAATAAGAATGATTTGTCAGAGTGAGGAATCTGAAAAGTAAAGAAGACTTCATAGTTCATATTACTAAAGAGTTAACTGCCAACTAAATTTGAAGGCAGAGAAAAAACATCCTAATACATATTTAGTAGACTCGTAGGAAGTGATGGAAAAAGCATCAAAGATCAATTCATTTTGATACACCTATGTCGCACCGGATTTTGTTCTGCTAATCTTCATCTATGTTGAGTTTCCGGCATGTTGTTTGGATTGCCTGTGGACGGGACAAAGTCACCGAGGACAAACCCAAAGTCAGTTGTCCCGCTAACTGGGTTGTAGAACTGGGTATCGAATCTTCCCGGATTGTCAGATCCTCCGATACCAAGAGTTAGGATTTGGCCAGTGCTTTCCAGCGAAAACTGTGGTCCTCTCATAGCGTTCTCAGCAGGGTCGCTCATCGGCTTCCCCTCGGGGGAATGATGGGTGGCGTTGTTCTTTGGAGAAGCGGGCTTTTCCATCATGAAGTCCATGGCGTCGTTCATCAGTTCTTGGTGCACATTTTGAGCGTTTCCGACTGCAGGGTTGTGGTGGCACTCGAAATTCGGGGTGGCATGCTCGACTTCTAGAGGTTGGGGCGTTTGGGTAGTTCCCAGTTTCTCGAGTGTGGGGTCTTGGTGGTGAATAGGAACCGGGCTCTTTAGTTCATTGTTGGGATTGTTGGGATCGCTTGGCTTAAGCTCAGATTCTGCAGCTTCGGGTTCCTGGGAAATGAACTGAAGTTCTGCAACGACAGGAGTTTGGTGGAGCTCAACGGCTTCAGAATGAACGAACGGCCCGGACTCCATTGCAGAAGGCTTTTCTTGAATCGGTGGAGGAGGGGGGTGAGAGTTGATAGGCGTTTCGTGGTGGTCGTGATTCGGATGCCTGACCTCGCCACTATCGAACTGGCTTTTCTCCATTTCAGATTCGACGTCTTGGCTTTCTGAATCCACCGTTTGAGAAACCGTGGCAGTTGCAGGGTTCTGGGGAAGCCGAGAGTTCGACTGCTCCAAATTATAAGACATAAAACACTGCTGAGCCATGGATCCGAGAGCCTGGTTGTGGTGAGTTTGCGATAACTGGTTGCTAGTTCCTTCGCTGGGCAATATATCAGTTTTATCGCCTTCCGAACCGACTTTAGGCATTTCAGATTGAGTCGAAAGCTCAAATACCTGCATCACCTCATCGTGTTCAACCATCCCGAGATTCTGGGGTCGATGGCCTGGCTGCGACTGAATTTGAAGCCTCTGGTCGGGATTCTGATGCACCATGATTTTTCCTCCAAAGGGAAAACCCGAGGCACCCCGAGACATACTACTCATCTGTATGGAAAACGGACCGGATTGAGGAACCATTACCGAGGGGGGCGGTTGGTTCATCTGATTATTAAGAACAAACGTATCGCTAGAAGCTGGCTTAGCGGGCAAAACTTGCTGGGCATCCATGGCGGGCTGAGGTCCCAACTGAACCGGCTGCTTAACGAGCTTATCTGACTGGGGAATCATCCCATGATTCCCATCGTTCTGCCCTTGAAGGTTGGGGACCGGTACGGGGATATCTCTTCTCTGATACATCTTAGCCTGTGGCGCAACATCGTTCGATGCCGAAATGGGAGCGAACCGCCCCGGTTGAAAAACAACGCCACGAAGCAAAGTATTGGTATTGCCAACCCGCACAGTGAGAAAATAACCCGCATCAAAACAGCCGTCAATTACGCCCGACACCATTCTCCCGACCATGTTTTCAACCGTACCATCCATCTGACTCGCTTCCACAGCTTGGGTTTTCTTCACCATCTCGGGTGCAGAAGTTGCGGGCGTTAGAGAGCTCCCTCGTTTAGGAACACCGCCATCTTTGCGTGGACGCCCACGTCTCCTCTTTGCGGGTAGTATTACCGGGGCGGATGGATTCCCCGGCTTACTCTGCTCATTCATCATAAGTAACCAACTACAAAGACCAATCTCAATTCCAATGATATTAATTCCTCTGCAGAGGACAAACACAACCAAACGCTTAAGAAACAATACACCTATAGTTCGGAAAACAAATAACGATTTTTAGAATACACAAACAGGATAAACAAATAACATTATTTCCCCTTTTCTCCATGCCCTTTCTTACAGAAACTAAGCAAAGCTGTCCCCATTTTCTCCTCAACCCAACATTCAGCCAAGAAAATCAAATCACATTTGGATCATATCATTATATCTCAACCATGATGACCCGAAACTCTCAAGAAACTTGCAAAAATCCAATAAATCGTTTCAATCTCATTTCCCTACTAAAACATAATTCAAAAAATGCAATGTTCAGAATCTGAGTGCAACATTTAGAGGCAAACTTCTTCCCTACTGCTTCATCAAACACTCATGGCAATTCAACAACATAAGCAAAGACAATCACCACATATAAACTACAAACTCCTAGGAAAAACACATACAAGCGCATACAAACACAATACAATAAATACATTAGATTTCTCAGCTTAGGCCAGATCAATCCTAATCCTAATCCTAACCCACGTAACCTTGCCCAAGGTTCACAACAGGTATGATCGGTAAAGGTCTTCCAATGACCCTCAGGTTTTTAACGGGATTCGAACCCCAGATCACCCTGAAAGACTTTAGGGTGATCGGTCGGATCAACTAAACAAAAAAAGAACAAAAAGGAGGCATTACTATATTCAATACGCTCATCTTATCATCAGCCAAATTTAAAGGAAAAAATCATAAAATTACAGCTAAACAGGCAAAATCATCATCCGCAGTAACACAAGCCATCGCCGTTTCTACCCAATACTTAAATATAGTTTTTAAAAAACGCCAAAAAAGGAAATCAGTGTGTTATAATACACAAACCCAAAATGCAATTGCGCATATGAATGTAACACACATATTTCACACACAACAAATTGGATTCAAAATATGCGTTCTTGAAGCGTGTCTACAGCGGATCGACAACGTTAATTTCATGTGAGACGAGGAATCTGTGACCCAACACTGAATTATTCCAATGCATGATAGATATCTGCTGCATGGATACGGAAAAAGGATCAGAAATTCAGAAAGACTTACATGTGATTCTGGCAACGAAGAATAAATCAGAGATCTGTAGAATTTTTTTTTTTTTTCGATTTTTCGATAATTTTATTATTATTATTAATAAAAATTTAGTTATGAGACAAATATATGTTGTTTTGTTTTTTCTTGGTGGGGGAGAGGGATGGGCTGTGGGCTTCGCGGAGTCGTGGGGTGGGTATTAAATGGTGGGATTTGAAGGCATTAAGCGTGGTTATAGTGATTTTTTTGTTTCAAAACAATAAATTTGCATAATAAATAATATTTTTTAAAAATAAATATAATGCATTTTGTTTGTTTTTTTTTTTTTTTAAAAAACTTTTTGAATTAACTATGTTAATTACGGAGTATTTATATAATTTTTTTTTACATAACTGATAGGGTTATAAAACATCTCAATTAATTTAATAATTTAAGTCATAGATTTAAACGAGTTGCCTGTCATTTTCTTTACTAGCTAGGTCGCGAGTTGGTCCTCTAGTAAGTTAATTGACATTGGTTGACATACCTATTTGAGTATATTATTGCATTGTCAGATTAACCGACGACGGTAATTAATCAAAGAATGTCATGTTAACTCACTTGCAAAATGTTATTGTGATATAAACAATGAGAATATAGATTGTGTTGTATTCAATCATAATGTCTCAGAGTACAGAGAGCGAATATATAGATACTAGATAGAATCCTAGTCTAACACGAATAATATAGTCCTAGTCTAATATGGATAACATAGTCCTAGTCTAATATGGATAACATAGTCCTAGTCTAATATGGATAACATAGTCCTAATACTTCCCCTCAAGCACAATGTTGGCTAGCCAAAACATTGAGCTTGTCAAGGAGAGAATTAAAACGAATAGACGAAAGAGACTTGGTGAAGATATCTGCTAGTTGATCCTTGGTTGAAATAAAGTGCACCTCTAACTCCTTTTTGGCTACTTTATCGCGAACAAAATGATAATCAATCTCAATGTGCTTCGTGCGGGCATGAAACACTGGATTGACACATAAGTAAGTAGCTCCCAAATTATCACACCATAGTCGAGGAGGAGACGCAGGTGGATGCCAATCTCGTGTAGCAGAGAAACAAGCCATGTAACCTCAGCAGATACATCAGCCAGACCCTTGTATTCTGCTTCAGTTGAAGAACGTGCTACTGTTCGTTGCTTCCGACAAACCCAAGATATAAGATTACTCCCCAAGAACACAGCAAAACTACTAGTAGACTTGCGATCATTCGGATCGCCAGCCCAATCTGAGTCAGAATAGACGTGAATATCCATCGACGTAGACCGAGAAATACGCAAACCAAAATGCAGGGTGCCTTTGACATATCGTATGACTCTATTTAGAGAGACCTAGTCCGTAGTAGTGGGGGCATGCATATGTTGACACAAGAGATTAACAGCATAAGACAGATCAGGATGAGCTACCGTAAGATATTGGAGAGCACTAGCAAGACTTCTGTATTGTGTTGGATCGGCATATGGAGTGGCAACATCGTCGGCGGTTTTCGCGGTAGAGACAGACGTGACCACTAGCTTATAGTCCACCATGCCAGCACGTTTGAGAATATCCTTCATGTACCGTTGTCGAGATAAAAGCATACCACCAGATAATGGGACAGTTTTAATTCCCAAAAAGAAAGAAGGCACACCCATATCACGAACTTTAAACATTATCACGATAATAGATAAAAAGAGACACATCAGTCTTTGAAGGCGCAAAGCCCACAGAGACTATAAAATCATGTAGCCTTGTGAATTTAATATAAATGGGTCTTAACCCGTGTGTTTCGAATCATCTATCGTCTCATTCCATGTGTTTGCTTGTACTACTTTATTACTATATCTTACTCCCTCTGTCTCATTTTATCTATCATGCTTACTATTCATTGGTCAAACTAATTTTTTCTTCTTTGTTTATTTTCTTTAGTATTTTTAACTTATTTTTTAATTTGTTTTTTTTTAATAGTACTTTTAATGTAGTTTCTAAATATATAAATTTTGTATACAAATACTAAACATACTATTATGAAAAATTGAATTAAAATAAACTTCAGTCAAACATCGTTAACTGAACCAGACACATAAAATGGGACGGAAGTAGTACTAAAAATGTTCGACCTCACTAACTCACCCTCCCAATTTTATTGTACTCCGACCTTGCTCGCTATCTCGATTTTATTTGCATTATCAATAACAAAAATTCATTGGTGTGAAAATATGTAATAACCTCATAATTTTTTAATAAACTATCGGAATTTAATAATTAATACTAGTTTCATTAACTTCTAACTCAGTTACTATCGACCAAGAAAATATCAAGTAGTAGTGAGGGTAACTCTAACCAAATTAGTGAAGTGATATTAACTTAGTAACTAAAAGATTTAAAGTTCAACTACTAGTAGAAGAAACATATTAACATTTTTTATTGAACTGATCAGTTATGAATAATCTAAATTGTTTTTACCCCTATATCTATGTGATTCTTTACTGGCTAGAGTAGGATTAGAATGGGGTTTCCTCTCATAAATTGTAAATGTTGGTGGAAAAATGGTCAAATAGACACATGAACTTTCATCAAAAAGTCAATTAGGCTCTTAAACTTTCAAAAGTTGCAATTAAACCCATAAACATACTATCTTGGAGCATTGAAATTCAAAAATCTTAGTGATCTGCAATTGCAGATTACTAGGGTTCCGACGAACTTCCGACCAAATTTCGATGAAAAATCGGATCGCCGGTCGCGTTCACCTTCTCTGGCGAAAGAGTCTGGTTTCTCTTTCGCGGGAGAAAGTGAATGCGACCGATGATTCGATCGCCGGAGTTTGATCGGAAGTTCAATGGAACCCTAGTGACCTACAATTGCAGGTCACTAACCGGTTTATGAATTTCAATACTCCAAAATAGTATGTTTATGAGTTTAATTGCAACTTTAGAAAGTTTAAATGGCTCAATGTCTCATTTTGATAAAAGATTAGGGGTTTTTTTTTTATAATTTTAATGTTGGCGTGTCATGTGTGATTTTAGCCTTTCATTACTTATTTATATCCGTCGTCATTGATAAATGATAAGAACGTGAAATTCGTCCTCTAGGTGAGTCGCGAACTCCTATTTTAAGCAGGCTCAATTTTCAAATATCCAGAAATCAAGGGGGGAATACGCAAAGTCGGATAATATAGGGGGGGCACGTGGTCAGCATAAGACCGTCACAAAATATCCAAAACCATAAAAACAGAAATATTCAGTTCACATATAAGCATTAAACATTTCATCTTCGTCCTCCTACTTCCTCCTATTTCCACCGCGCTCTCGCTTGTTTCCCCACCACCGCAGCACGGCGGCGCCGCCACTAATCAGCCATGACGGCTCTCCTCACCAAAGGGATATCACTCTTCTCAGTCCAGCCGGTCTGCGAGCCACCCAAATCGCTAAAAGCCTCGCAGGTTCTACCGAAACCCTCGAATCTCAGAACCCAGAATCCGAGGAATTTCAAGGTCAGAGCTGAAGCCAAGGTCACGATTGACGCCCCAGGTAAACAACCCTCGCCTTCCACTTCTAACGAAGACGACCCGCTTCAGAAATTCCTCAAAAGGGACTATAAGTGGGGTTTCAATCAAGAGATAGACTCCTTTACGCTGCCAAAGGGGCTATCTGAGGAAACCATAAGGCTGATTTCTTCCAGGAAGAATGAGCCTGATTGGATGCTTGAGTTCAGATTGAAGTCATATGAAAGGTTTATGAATATGAAAGAGCCGAAATGGTCCGATAATCGGTACCCAGAGATTAATTTTCAGGATATCTGCTATTACTCTGAGCCCAAAAAGAAACCAACTTTGAATAGTTTAGATGAGGCTGACCCTGAGCTGATTAAGTACTTTGAGAAGCTAGGTGTGCCTTTGAATGAAAGGAATAGGTTAGCTAATGTTGCAGTGGATGCTGTTCTTGATAGTGTTTCCATTGCAACTACACATAGGAAGACCCTGGAGAAATCTGGGGTAATTTTCTGTTCAATATCTGAGGCCATTAGGGAGTACCCAGATTTGGTTAGGAAGTATTTGGGGAGAGTTGTGCCCTCAGAAGATAACTTTTATGGGGCCTTGAATTCGGCTGTGTTTAGCGATGGATCGTTTGTGTATGTGCCCAAAAACACGAGGTGCCCTATGCAAATCTCGACGTATTTTAGGATAAACGCCATGGAAACTGGCCAGTTCGAGAGGACTTTGATTGTTGCAGATGATTCGAGCTTCGTGGAGTATTTAGAAGGGTGTACTGCGCCTTCGTATGATACGAATCAGTTACACGCGGCTGTGGTGGAGCTGTATTGTCACGAGGGCGCCGAGATTAAGTACTCCACCGTGCAAAATTGGTACGCTGGAGACGAGGAGGGTAGAGGAGGGATATTTAATTTCGTTACGAAGAGGGGACTTTGCGCTGGTTCTCGGTCGAAGATATCGTGGACGCAAGTGGAGACGGGGTCGGCTATTACCTGGAAGTACCCGAGTGTTGTTCTGGAGGGTGATGAATCGGTTGGCGAGTTTTATTCCGTTGCATTGACTAATAATTATCAGCAAGCTGATACGGGGACTAAGATGATACACAAGGGTAAGAATACGAGAAGCAGGATAATTTCTAAGGGTATTTCAGCGGGGCACTCTAGAAATTGTTACAGAGGACTTGTTCAAGTCATGTCCAGTGCAGATAATGCTCGGAACTCCTCGCAATGTGACTCTATGCTCATTGGAAATAATGCCGCGGCTAACACTTACCCGTATATTCAGGTAAGTTCCCTATGAAATGAAATTGTTCGTTTTTATTTAGTTTTGTATATTCAGGTAAGTTCCCTATGAAATGAAATTGTTCGTTTTTATTTAGTTTTGTTAATTCGTGTTTCAAATGAGTAAATGCCTCGCTTTTCCTGTGTCCATTTCGCTACTCCGTTACAATGTAGTATCTGTTCATAACTACTTTCTCAACCTACTGAAGCACAAAGAGTCAATAACGCCTCCACTATATCTGTTCATAACTACTTTCTCAACCTACTGAAGCACAAAGAGTCAATAACGCCCCCACTGGGGATCGAACCCATGACCTCCCAATTGGGAAAGCCACTTCGTGCCACTAGACCACGAGGTCTTGTAATTGTATGCTATGTTCTGAGTTAGTGGAATGCTTTCCTTTTATGCACCTTAGCTTGAACCTTGTGATGCTCTGTGGCTCCTAATCGGGCTTATGAGTGCCCTTTGTATGCATATATGGTATATCCTAGTTTCCTCCATAACCTCTGGTTTTTTCCAGATCTAAGAAAAACTTTTTGGTGATGGTAGGCCGTCCATAATATCTGTGGTGATAAGTAATAACTTGATAGAATCATCGGAACTGTCAATTTTTATTCCTAGAAATATGTTCCAAAAGGAACCCTAAGCTCCAATTTAGGAAGACTGCTCGGGAGAATCTGGATAAAATGAGAACTATGCTTCTCGTTAGAAGTGTGGACTAATCTGAGTCATCCATCTAGGATGATCAATGGCTAGAGAATAAGGGAAAAAAAGGTGGGGTCAATTCCATAAGTATACAAACTTAACCCTGCTATTTTTTTTCTTTTTTCTTTTTCCTTATTTTCCAACCGTTAGATCTACTATATCAATGGCTAGCATTTCTTCATACTTCTCACAAGAAGCCTTGTTCTCATGGAAGCCAGACCCTATATAATTTTCGGCCTCGATAATCTTTTGAAACACCTATAGAACCCAGGATCCAATCAGTGGACTTATTTGAAGATTATATCCTTTTTAGTAAAATAGTTAGCTTATCAGCCAATTTTGGCTTATTTGACCACTATTCATTGTTTGACTTGGTTAAAAAAATCAATATAAGTGTTTGGTTAATTAGCTTTTTGTAACTCCAAAATGCTAAAATTCAAAAAGCTGCTCAAAGCAACTTTTTCAATTAGCTTTTTGAGAAAAGAAATTATACCAAACAACTATCAACTAACGTCTAATTTACCAAACACCTTTCTACAATCAGCTAATGTTATCAACTAGTTATACCATCTAATTAACCCAATCGGCTAACAGCTATTTAGTTATACCATCTAATTAACCCAATCGGCTAACAGCTATTTACCAAACAGGGCCAAATGTACTGCAAGACTTGCAGTTAAAATTTCCCTAGATTGTCCTTGCGTTTGAAAACTGCTGATCGCTGCTCTTATGTTGCTAATTTGCTAAAAACTGCTGTTGTATGATTATACTGGGTAGAACATTTCTAGATCTTAATGGTTAAATAGTACAACATATTATTTTGGTTGTGTAAAAATATAAATGAGCTATACTCGAAGTTGGAAAAGAAAAAATTCTGAAATCTGTTGATTCTTGCGATGGGGTAAAAAAAATGATGAAATATACACCTGCCTGTATAATTGAATGAGCATATACCGCCTCTATGGTATTTGATGTCTAGTTGAATACTCTTCTTAATGTGAATTGTCTATTAATTTGTGGGTAAAACAAACCTGGAAACTGTCCTTTCCTATGATCTGTCCTAACAGTCATGAAATTGTATTCTGTATACTTGGTTGAGCATATTTTGCTCGTATACCATATTCTGTCGAAGTGATTGAGCATTATCTACTTATTAATTTGAGTTGTCCCGATACTTTGCTTGTAGAAATACATCCACATATAGTGATAAAAATCATAAACTCGAAACTTACCTATAAGTGATTGAGCATTTTCTGCTTCCACGTTATTTACTGTCTAAGTGAATGATCGATCATTCAATCTTCCGCTTCTATATTTGCTTGTGCCATGATTTCAACAGACCAAGAATCCCTCTGCCCGGATTGAACACGAAGCCACCACATCAAAAATCGGCGAAGATCAATTATTCTACTTCCAGCAGAGGGGAATCGACTACGAAAAGGCCATGGCAGCAATGATATCCGGGTTTTGCAGGGACGTCTTCAATGAACTTCCCGACGAATTTGGCGCTGAAGTGAACCAGTTGATGAGCTTGAAACTTGAAGGATCCGTCGGGTAGGCTCACCGGTGTTTTTCAGTCAATAAAAAAACGATTTACCCAACTTTAAACTTTTTGGAAGCTGTAGCCATTACCCAGGGATCTAAGATCTGTAAATTTGTCAAATTTCATATACTGGCAAGGAAAAAGGGGTGAATTGTACACAATGTAAATGTGAAAAACATTACTTCCTGGTGAGTTATGAATCCCTTGTAATATTGTGTACCCTTACAACTATGGCTATATAAGATGATATGGGCTCCTTTTCATATGAATGTATTGAATTTGTGCTTGGGACAATTGTTATATTGTGGACTGGGTTCACCATGCACACGGTGTACCCTATCCAAATTATATACTTGCAGTTAACATATTGGCCCAGTTTGGTAATATAGTTAGCTAATCAGTTAATTTTAACTTATTTGATCACTATTAGTTGTTTATCTAAATAATTAATATAAGTGTTTGATTAATTAGTTTTTTGTAATAGCTTATTGTTCCAAAACGCTAAAATTCAAAGCTACTCAATTTCAATAGCTTTTTGAGAAAGTCATTTTGCATGTAATCAGCAAACTTCTATTTACCAAACACCTCATTATGTACTTTCAGTTATAGTTAACATATTGGCCCTGTTTGGTAAAAAAATTGGCCTATAGGCTAATTTTGGCTTATTGGTCACTATTAATTGTTTGATTTAGTTAAAATATCAATATAAATGTTTGGTTAATAACCTTTTTGCAACTCCAAAAAGCTAAAATTCAAAAAGCTACTCCAAGCAACTTTTTCAATTAGCTTTTTGAGAAAAGAAATTATACCAAATAGCTATCAGCTAACAACCAATTTATCAACCACTTTTCTACAGGCAGCTAATGTTATCAACTATTTATACCCTCTATAATTAACAGAATCAGCTAACAGCAAACAGCTATCAGCTAACAGTCATTTTATCAAACAGGGCCATTATAATATAAGCAAGTAGTTAATATATTATGTACATTAAGTTAATTTGGGTACACAATATATTAATTTATGTATATAATTTGAATGTTGCTTTGGATTAGGTTCATAATGTAAGGTGAATCCTAGTCCATAATATAATTTGTGTGTTTGGGAAGCTTGGGCCTTTGCCTTCATGAAAACCTAGAATGAACACTTGAATGTCCAGGGAGCTGCACTTGTGCATGGTAGACTCCAAAATAATCATATATTGGAGCCATTTGAAGCCTAGATTGTATAACTAATCATATATTATGGTTCGGAACGAAAACTTGCTTTTGTCTTGCGCGACTCAACCTAAACCTACTGAAACACAAAGAGTCGATATTGTGTATCTGAGGCTCGAACTCACAGTCTCCCACATAGGAGAGTAACTTGGTGTTATTAGACCACAAAGTCATTGGCATAAACAAAATAGTCTACTTACCAAGTAAATTATATTATTTGAATCTTCAAGTACCTAACTACTGTCAAATCTATTTTTTTATTTATTTATGATATTTAGTGAATTAAACCATTAAATTACATTATATTAAAAACCAAAACTAGTATTATTAAAGTACAATTATTAATTATTTTAACTTTAATAATTTCCTCGCCGGTGCAAGTAGTCTACCTTAGTTTATGATCACATATACACATCTTAAATTCAATAGGTTAAGATTCTTAATACAAATAGGACTATGATGTTTAAATGTATTAATATGATAAACACATTTTGGAGTTTGATTATTGTATATACAATTATACATTTGGCTTTTGACTTTTGGGCTGAAAGATAAGTCAGTGCCGCTTCATTATTATATTCAAATACAAGACAAAACAATTGTATATTCGCTGACTCACGTTGTGTCTGCTTCATCCAGCTTCAAGAAACTAGTGGGCTCTGTAACTTTGACTGAAACTCAAATAAATTGTGTTTTTTTTTTTTTTTTTTTTTTTTTTTTACTTCATCTGTCAGTAAATTTTGTATATTTCATTGATTTACGATAAAGATGGTTACCGCAATGGTTTAGAGCGTATCCTATTTTAGATGGTTTTGAACTTTTGCGGGTTGAGTTGTTTACGTGGAAGAGAGAGAAATTTTGAGGTCTTCCGATTAAGACTTAGTTTGTATCTGCACAGTGGGTCGAGTAAATATCCAAAATGGTCCATCCACTATAGCTAAATTCATAAATTGGTCCTCAACTTTTAATTTCACCCAATTAAGTCCTTAACTTTGCAATTTTGACACGATTTGGTCCTCTATCTAATTGACCGTTTGTTGACCGTGATCGACGATCTCCAGAAGAACCTTCAGCTCTCGTCGGAGCACATGGAGGCCTCCAGGTTGACGTTGCACCGATTCGAAAACACGTCGTCTTCTTCGCTCTGGTACGAATTCAACTACATTGAATCCAAAGGGAGGATGAAGAAGGTAACCGGGTTTGGTAGATTGCTTTCGACAGTGGATTCAAATGTAACAGTGCGGTCTAGAAATGCAACCGAAACTTTAAAAAATCGATGATGGACCATGAAATTACATATATATCCTCAAAAATCACAGTCAACAAACGGTCAAATAGACAGAGGACCAAATTGTGTTAAAATTACAAAGTTAAGGACTTAATTGGGTGAAATTGAAAGTTGAGGACCAATTTGTGAATTTAACTATAGTCGAGGGACCATTTTGGGTATTTACTCCAGTGGGTCTCACCAAAGTTGAAAAGTTGTCGTGTTTGTCGCGTGAAGCTAATTGAAGGGGGCGTAATTTTCTTTGTTTTTTTTTTTTTCTTTTTTGAATTTTTTGTTTTCCTTTTATCCCTTTTATCTCTCACATGTTTTCTTTTCTAATCACACATGTAAAAATTTCTCAAAATCTGTGCGACTATACCTATTGAGGATGCTCTGATCTTATGAGAAGTCCATTATATTTTGTAATTCTAACCGACAAAAAGTTAGAGTTAAGTTATCATAGTTGACCGATTCAAACCTAAAATACTAATAAATAGCTTCCACAAGAAGTTAAACTTAGAACCTTGTGGTCACCAAACTATCTGACTAGCTCGACTGGAGTTGCCTCCATATTTTTAAATTTTATCTGGTAATTATCAAACCAATCGCCAGAAGAATTTTGTATATTCCTAATTAAACTAGCTGTTTTTCAGAAACATGGGACCAATAGTGGCACATAATATATTACTAGTAAGTTGTTGTGTCCGGCAAATAATTTCATTAAAAATCATTAAACCAGCTCTAAGTCCTACCTAAACATAATATATATATGTAGTATATTCACATATGGTTTGGCAAAATTCTTCAAACACCACATATATATTGAGATGACATCATTGCACCAGTTAATTGATGAACATGAAAAAACATCATTGTTTATTCATGTACGTTGAGGTTTATATTTACTATAGTTTGACTTAGTTGTTTACCTTAAATTTAATGCAATAATAATGATGGGAGCAGGCCAAATGTGAATTGAAAGGCTGAAAGTAAGGTGGTAGAGATTAATTAGGAGCTGAGGCTCTTGAAGGGTGTTTGGTTCCACTTTTAGTAAGTTATAACTTACTATTAAAATATACACTCAACCAACATCACAATATATACAAACTGCAAATTATTCTTTCCAGACCCCCTACACCCCGGTCCGACAGAGTATCTGAGAGGATGTAAATCATGGTAATTCAACTGAACATGAACCACAGAGGCTAGACTTTTGCTTACTGCGCACAAGGAACAAACTGCAAATTATTGCGTGGACCGTGCGTGGTCTTATGTGGACCACAATCCGAAACGACGTCATTGAATATTATGAGTTAGAATAATGTTTTTATGTGTTAAAATAATGTACATTATGTGTAAGAATAATGTACATTATATGTTAGAATAATGAAATTTCTGAGGTAAGATAATGTACTTTATGAGTTAGAATAATATACATTATGCTTTAAAATAATGTACATTATAAGTTATAAAAATGTATGTTGCAGTGGGTCACGTTAAATTTTTTTTTTTTTTTTTTTTTTTTACATGAAACGACGTTATTTTTTGACAGCTGTGTGAACCACAGTCCACGCGATAACTATTGTATACAAACACTAGGAGTTTGTATATGTATCATTCATGTATACTATTATTAGCTAAATGGGGATAATGATGAAGCATTCATGTCTATCATCAACCAAGAACAACCTCTGCTATTATAACATTTTGTGCATTCAGCATAGAGAAAAGAATCAAAGTAGTCAGCTGCTCATTATTGAGTTATTTTAATCTGATCTGTTTATATGTATATATAAAAATGGGGTTGACATGACATAATGTAGCTACTACCTGTTTGCTATGTTAGTATGTATCTGATGCACCTCCAAATTAAACAATCTAATAATTTTGGGCAATGCCAGCTCTGCTGTGCCTATTCTCCATCTTTGTTACACCATTTAATGGTGTCATTATGAGCCTGCAAGAAGATGTACTGTTATATATATATATATATATATATATATATATATATATATATATATATATATATATATATAGGTTGCATATGGAAGCCAGTAGAAATATATATGAGGTATCGGTAAGTAGCTCGCAAGGACATCCTAGTTATTTTTTGAGTAGTAGATTATATGTATAGTAAAAATACAAGATCAAGCATTGAGGGTTGTAATATGGGAGTTGCACCTAATGCAGTCAACTCTTTGGGCAAATTATTGTGTGGATCATAACACAAAGTACATTTTTAAGATACTAAATGTACATTATTTTTGTACTGAATGTACATTATTTTACCGTATATAAAATATGGTCCACACAATTTGTGTGGACCATGGTCCACACAATTAATAATGATTGGACTCCTTGTAGGCATTAGACACGTACTGGTCCTTCCACTTAATGGGCTGCTTGAGTCACAATGATTTACCCTTTCTATCCGGCCTGTTGGGTGGGTATTTGGGGATCTTGAAGTGGACTCCTTGTGAATATTAGGCAATGATCCTCCCACCTAATAAGTCAATTGAGACAAAGTGATTTAACCCTCACTCTTTTGTTGGGTCGGGATATAGATGCCTTGAAAGCGAAGGTATATTTCGCCTTTTATGGGCAAAATATCTGCAAGTCTACATATTTTTATAATAGATAATTAAAAGAACAGATACAAAGTTGAAAAAATTTAAGGATAATAATGAGAGGGGTTCATATTAGAGGATTCTATATCCAATTTTTGACGGATTCATCACATTCAAATGAAATTTTTAAAAATTCGCTCTTAATCCACGGTAGAGTA